GCACCCTGTCGATGGTTGAGATGCTAACCGTATGGATGTTTATGTTTTCAAAGACATCGTTGTCTTCTATAATGGTCCTTTGTATTTCCCTGAGTCTCATGGCATTGTTTGCTCGGACTATGGTGCACATAGCCTCCTCCTGTCGAGGTGTGAAAAGGCGTCCTATGCCACCGGTTTGAGGTAATCTTGCAGTCCTATATGGGGAAAAATGCAGTGATGCATCGCACACTTTCACATAGACAAAAACTATGTGAACAAACACACATTTTACTGTTAAACATACAGGTGGGTGCATGTAAGGTGCGGTGTGTATCTGTATAGAGTATATTTCTGTATGCTGTGAAATACAAGTGGACTACTGTAATATGAAGCATTGTAGGAAGTATACAGTATACAGCTTATATACAGTAACAGCAACTCTGTGTTGTGGTCTGTCTATATACACTTGCCAATTGATTGTTCATGAGATGCACCTTTGAGCAATTTAGACAACTGGTTGATTGTTGGTTGAACTAACACTTTACATTCCTTCATGAGTGAGGGTCAATTTCACCTGCACGATTCGTCAATTCACGTTTTTGTACAAAAGGTCTAATAGAATTGTGTAAAACTATGCTTGACAGTTTATGACAAATAGTTCAACAATTTTGCATGTAATGGGTTATGCAAGGAACTGTTGCCTAGATGTTTTGAGGGGTAAGACAGAGAACCATCTACTATATTTTGATCAACATGACATAAGCAATTGAAAATGTGGAAAAAAGCTGACACTTGTACAAAAGCAATTGCAATTTGTTCAAAGTAATAAGAAATTGCTTTAATGATGTGCACAAGTGACTAGATGATTTGGGATTTGTACAAGTAGTATCAAGAATTGCACTTTTGATCTAAGAAATGCACCAAAGCGACTGAGAAAAACTGTAAACACGTCAAATGTCTGTATCGCTCTTAAAATGCTGATTTTGTTCTGTATCCAACACACACAGGTCATGGTTTTGACAATCTATTGAAGTGATATTTAATTCATTTACCAATTATAGTGTAAATGTTTTTTTATTTATTTAAATTACTGTTTAAAAGTTGGGGTCGGTAAGATTTTTAAATGTCTTCAAAAGAAGTCTCTTCCGCTCACCAACGCTGCATTTATATGATCAAAAATACAGTAGAACAGTAATATTGTGAAATATTAGCACAATTTAAAATAGCTGTTATCTAGTTGAGTATATTTTAAACTTTAATTTATTCCTGTGATCAAAGCTGAATTTCCAGCAATAATTCAAGTCCAAACTTAAGTCTTTTCTCCACAGCATTCAAAATTTATGACCGTTTCAGTTCCATTCCCAAAAAGTGAATAAATTGATTAACTATATGCATAAAAAGTACCATAAAATCCCCTAAAAATACAAAATATTAAATAAAAAACATTATCGAACTAAAATATAGTACAATTACATCACTGAAATAAATAAAAAAGTTTTGTTTTTTTTAGCCAGAGGGTTATTGCATCCATGCTGAATTTTTTATATATATAAAAAAACATACTGAACGGTATAGTGCATTTTTAATTTTAGTTTAATTGATGTATATTGCTCTATATTAAACGGTGTTAATTATATTAAAACACTGTATTAAGACATCTTAAAACAGCTTTTGAAACAGCGTTGCATACTTCTTTCCAATCTCCTGGGCATCATATCTCCTCTCTGACTAATTCAGACAAGTAAGTGATTATCATTCCTCTCACTGCGTGTCTGGCAGAAGCTTGAACTGAAGCGTCGCGGTCATTACTGCACATTAGGACCCTTAACCACCATGCTCTTATTTATGGAGGGTCATCTGATGCACTCTGTTAACGGCTGCTTTTTAACTCCCTGATGATTGTAACATATGCAAAGAGAGAGGTTTGTTCGCAAGGAAAGGACCGTCTCCTAAATCAAATCACACCAAACATCAAATTCATTAGGACGGGCTTGAGATGACTGCATGAGTGCAAATTTGACAAATGAAAGAGAGGTGACATCACTGAAGTAACGTCACTGGAGACACGTTGTTCTCTGACCCCGATGACTGTAAACACATCGAGTCAACAGCGGTCTGCTAAAACAGGCTGAGGTGGACAGGAGGTCCTTTAATGACTCATTTTCATATGAGCTGAACATCATTGGGTGTGTTCGGCTTGAAGCGGCGCTGACCAAACACACCTTGGGCCAGATTTACTAAACAGGGCAAATTGGTATAAAAACGCAATTCCACAAAAGTGCAGATGGGAGTGGAAAGTTGCGCACATGATCTACTTACGACACATTAATGAACACAGACACAGCGGATCATTTCAGATGCTAATTTGCGCTGCTCTTGGTAGATTGTGTTGGTCATTATGGAAATGATCCAATTTCTATTATTTGCACTGTTGCGAAACTAATTTTCAATCAAATATCAAAAAACATTAATCTGTTTTTATCAGATTTTATCAGATTTATTTTATCTCCATCTCAGACCAACTTTTCCACCACTATGGCCTTAATGAAATACACCAATGATTTGTTTACTTCCTTTGATAAAGGCCAACTTACTGGTGCAATCTTCATTGATCTCTCAAAGCATTCGTCACGGTGGGCCATTACTTTCTACTTGATGAATTGCTCCCCTATAGGCTTTGATTAAAACTCTCTCCTCTGGTTTAATTCCTATCTCCATAACAGACGCCACTATGTTTCTTTTCGAGGCTCTAATTCGGATTATTTGGTTGTTGATAATGGTGTTCCTCAAGGCTCAACACTGGGTCCTCTGCTCTTCTGTGCCTTTATTAATGACCTTCCCAAAACTTGCTCACAATCTTTCACTCATCTTTATGCAGATGACACTGTTATTTACTCTTCCTATTCTGATTATTCATACATTCAGTCCTCTCTGCAGTCAGAATTTGACTCATTACAGGATTGGTTTTTACAAAAACAAAGTTGTCCTCAGTAAAAAGAAGTCTTGTATGGTGTTTATCAAAAGATGCCATTGTTCGCATTCCTCTGATTTAAGTATTAGACTTAATGACGGGTCACCCCTCACTAAAGTTGATCTATTTAAATATCTTGGTCTTTGGCTTGACCCCGAACTGTCCTTTAAGCCTCACATTGATTTTATTATCAAAAAATCATATGGTTGCTTGTGTTCTCTTTATCGCTCAATTCATTGCTTTTCATTTCAAGTCAGAAAAAAAATCAATTAATTTCTATTATCGACTATGCGGACATTATTTACCAAAACACTACATTTAAAACCTCTAAAAGTCATTCACAATTCTTTATGTATTGTTTTGAGATCACACCATTGTACACTATGAAACTCTTGATTGGCTCCAATCAAAATCCCTAAGGTAATACCACTGGTTCCAGTTTCTTTTTAAATGCGTTCATTTTAATGCCCCTTCTTATTTAAAAAAGCTTTTGGTTTAATTTACATCCTCCAATCCCCTTCGACACATGCAGCTTCCGTTTTTGTGTGTCCCGAGAATGGACAAAGCTCGATCAGACTGGAACAATCTCCCTCCTCGTCTCAGACCGATTACATCTTTCCGTCCGTATAGGACTAAATCTCTTTTCTCATCAGAAAACAACCAGCTCATGTTTTTAAATCAAGGCTTCAACGCTTATCATCCTGTTCATTGTATTTATTTATTTGTTATTTCTGTTGTCTCTCAGGGTGCAGGATTTTCATGTTTGCACTAACATGTATGTCCTCTTGTTTGTACATGCTCCTGTTTGTCTAATACAGTTGGAGACTGTAGGTGGGAGAATAGGGGAGTGAGATGTTTGTCTGTTTATGTGTGATCATATGTGATTTCTTTTTTATTTATTTGTTTGTTTGCTTTAAATGTGTTATATTTTGTATTGTAGTTTGTATGCGTTTATTGGGACCCCCTCGAAAATGAGATGTTGCAGTACATCTCAAGGGGCCATCCTTTCAATAAATTCAAATACACATCAAATTTCATTTTAATTTGTGAAGTTATGACAGGTTTTCAGTTTTAGCGCCCCCTATTGGCAGATTTTGGTACACCCTGTCAATGTGTATCAAGTTTCATCAAGTTTGGACATTGCATTGAGCAGATTCAGGTCAAGTAGTCAAAATCAAAGACGTCAGACCATTTAATATACTTATGTCTTCACAACGCCTTATTGAATCAGAATTCTTGTAACTTTTTGTCTTGAGGAAATTGGGATGATACGTGCCAAGTTTGGTGCAAATCGAACCGATGGCCTAGGAAGATTTAGAAAAAGTACGTTTTTCAGAAAATTTCAAATGGAAAAAAAATGTCCCAGGGATAAACAATATTGCATATATGACCTTTTAGAGCAGAAAAATAATAACTGGCAAAACAGGAAATACAATAGGGTTCAGCATCTTGGTTTCTTGGACCCCTAAAGAAAAGAAAAGTAAGTCAATGAATCAACGGCAAATATTGTTCACAGCAATTTTTGGGTTAAAGGTTTGGCGAACTTGATTGTCTGAACCCGTGCATAAAAACAAAAAAACAAGGTACTAAATAATATTATATGGTCTTAGCCTTGACCAAGCCACAGTGCAGAAGTTATGCTAGAATGACGGTGGATATTTTCAGGTTAAGCTCCAATCCTAGATTAATATGTCACAATTGTATGGATATGTAACATTGTTACATTTTGTAACAATTACGTATGACATACAATCTGTTTGCCCTACAGTACCCTACTGGAGACTCTCACAGACCACCACATGTGGGTGAACTATCCCTTTAGACATGCATGAAGAAAAAACAACATCGCTGATGCTCACATTCACCTCTTTATTGCATGCCACTGCAAATATCTTCTCTTAACATGAAGCAAAAATGACTAAGAGGTATTCAAAGAAAGAACAATAATCTTCTTTTTTTTTTAACTATAGTACCAATCATATTCTGATGCTGACTTAAACATAATAAACTATAATTACACCCAGCCCCAAATGAGAATGTTATTAAATATAAAATGCATATTTGTAAATCTCAGCTCCTTTCGTCGAGCACAAGTTTCTCCTCTTTTAAACCAACAGACCTCGTGAGCAGCCTAATAAAGTCTTTATTGCTTTTCACGGCTGATTGGGTTTTCTTCATCTTGTCACAATGGGTGAGTTTTGTGTGTGTGTGCCTAGCCTCCATAAGACACACACACACACACACAATCATCAAGAAAGAAGAAGAGGAGATACAAACATCCTTTGGCACATGCGGCGACTCTTCGGAGCTGAGAACAATAGATTACACTTCACGTTCCAGTCGGTCCAAGAGAAAACAGCTAAATAAACGAAGAAAACCGGACAGAAAGAAAAAGCAAGCAGTCTAAGAGAACTTGCGTTGGGAAACAGAACACGGCTTGTGATGCAGCTTAACACTGGCTGAAACTGAAGCGTGATGTGATAGTGTTACGGTAACGCTGTGTTAGCATCAGCGCTTGTTCCAGGTGGGGGTGGCGATTGGACCTTGTGGCGCTCTTTCCACCAATATCAGCTCCTCTGGGTTATTAACGGCCTTGTAATGGAGTAACAGGTCCTGAATGGCTCGTTCTTCAATCTACAGTCAAAATGAGAAGAACGGAATTAAAGGGTCAATGACAAAAATATTGAAAGAAATCTAGTGTAAAACACATTTGCAAAGTTCTTAGAAGCTGCATTACTCCAGTCTTCAGCATCACGAGATCCTTCAGAAATCACTCTAATATGATGATTTGATGCTCAACAAACATTTATTATTATTATTATTATTATTATAAATGTTGAAATCAGTTGTGCTGCTTCATATTTATGTAGAAAACGAGATACGTTTTTCTCAGGACTCTAGAAAGTTAGAAAATAGATATATTTTTGCAACACTGTTGTCTTTTTCATAGTTTTACCATTTTATAACAATTTAATCCAAAATTGAGATTTAAATACAACATCAAGCGGTGTAAAGCTAAACGTACATATTTCCTTTATAGCACATGAGTGTACATATCTTAACCATTATCATTCAAAAGTAGAAAAGCTTGGTTTTTTAACCATTTATATCACGCTGTTTCCTTGCAGTTATACCATTTGACAACCTGAACTAACTAATGTTATTGCCAGGTTAAAGTTCCTGTTTTAAGTCACATGCACATAAAGCAGAATCCCGTTACCTGTATGAGCGCTAGCGGCTTCTCGCGGCTGCGGATCAGGGCCGCCTCCTGTTTTCTCTCCTCCTCCACAATGGAGGCAAATGTAGAGGTGGACGGAGGGCTTCCAGCTGCTCTCAGCACCCAAGGGCTGATGGGAAGAAGAAAAAACACAAGAGAGAACAAGGTTCAATGCAGAGTAACTTCCTCCGAAGTTGCTTCGAATGCTTCAATTGACTCAGGCATGTGAATTGTGAGGAATTTAAAGCTGCAGTCCGCAGTTTTTCCTCTTTGTCGCCATCTCTGTTAGAAATCTGCAATTGCAGTCATTCGCGGAATTATCAACTTTACGTGAGTTGTGCCTCGACACGGCACAGCGCGGATGAACACAATGTTTGAGGAGAGTGTGTGTCTGTCAGTCGCCGCCGGTGTGGATACTGGCATTCAGAGTCACAGATTATACTTTTTGGAAGCATGACAAACATAATAATTTTCACCGGAAAATGTCGTCTGAACAAGTAACATCCACTTTTTTCTGGTTCTGACATTGTCTCTAGTTGTCACTGGTGATTGTCGTTTGAATCTTTCTGGCTCCGCCATCAAATTAATAAATTTAATTATATCAAGTGCTGTGAGAAAAGGCTATAAATCTCCACCTCCAACATCCTCACACTCATAGCCTACTAGCCGAGACTCTTCTTTATGTGTACAGATGTGTGTGTACAGATGTGAGTGTGCAGATGTGTGTGTGCAGATGTGTGTGTGTACAGATGTGACGTAATGACGCAAAGACATGCTCGAATCTCCCGCGGAAATCCACCAGTACCACTGGAGTTAAAAACATTATTACAAGCTTACCGCTTTGAACCGAGCTAAGGCAAGCAGAGAGTTTTGAACACTGACTGGTTATGTACTTGCTCAAAAATTATTTTGGATAATTTTTTGAACCCAAAAAAGTTACGGACTGCAGCTTTAAAGGGTCATGAAACCCCAAACCAAATTTTCTGAGATTTCTACAGAGGTATGTGTGTTGAACACCATTGAAGACAATGTTAGCATCAGTTAGATTTAATAGTAGGGTTAAAATGGTTAAATTTGAGTTTTTTTCCGCTTTTCTCGTCTTCCGGGTTTAAAATCTTCATCGTGTCCACGTCACATGCTGTGACGTGTCAGTGCACTGTGAGTGCGTTGATGACTCATCGGTGTCTCATAATTATTAATGAGACTGAGTTTTCATATCCTATGAGAAGACACTGTCTCTTAATTATTCATGACACCACGTGGATCTTTCCAATGACAGACATGTCAAACTGTGATATCGCGTAGTAGATGAGAGAGGCAATCATGGGACGCACGCAAGTGTTTGTTTTCGTGGTGCAAAAGTCCAATTGGGTTGAATATGTTTCCCCGCGATGCTGCCCGGGCTAGACTCTGGCTCCGGGCGGTTGGTTTTCCATCAACCACGGACACATCTAAACGTGTGTGCCGCAAACATTTTTCTCGAGAGAGCTTCGAGAATTGGAGAATGGTGGACTTCGCCTTGTTGACAACCAATGCAGGTTGCGTCTTGCGAGTGATGCGGTACCAAGTCCCGAGGACTTTTCTATCCCTTCAGAGGTGTGTGTGTGTGTGTGTGTGTGTCTAAAATGAGAAGTCATCCACCTCCACAGAGCCATCTTTATTATGGGGGTTCAGGGGGCGCGTAGATCTAGGCTATGCACGGAACGTTTTTTTTTAAGCGGAAAATTAATAATTTTCAAATATATGTATTTATAGTGTCTATAAACAACTATATATTTTATAATGACATTATAATTATACATGTAGCCTACATTAATATGTTCTCAATAGAATTACGATTACTGTAGGCTAATATAGCAGGGCATTCAGTTACTTTTGAAAGGACAATAATAAAGTGTCGTATTTCATAAGACTTTAACTTTGCCAGCTATAAAAAAAGTCTAGCATTTCCTCACGTTTTACCACTGCTTTTAGTGACAGTCGATATGCATGGGATACTGGCGATGACAGTGATGGCCATACCACACCCCTTCTCACAGCCATCCACGCCCATTTAAGTTGCATTTTTCAAAAAGATTGTGAGCTAGACTTGAGCTGAAAGAGGGGGGTTTCATGACCCTTTAACCTGCTTCTGTTTCCACTGTTTCTCAAAGATTCAGCAAACAGTATCTGGAAAAGCTGAGGCACAAACGACAGAAAACAGGATCGTCACAACAACGGCTCAGACAATTATATTGCGCAGTGCGCACACACACATATTAGGCTATATAAACATTTGATACATGCGTTTAATCCCAATTAATCGTTTTGACAGCCTTGTTTACTTCCTAAATCCCATATCAAACTCAACCAGTTGAACAATACAAGGATATGTATGGGATGATTTTAGTATCAAAATGATTAACACGTGCAAGCACACTTATCAATGAACTTGATACATGTTGCAGAAATGTTTTATCCATGCCTTTCAACTTGCGTGTGCAAAATTCAAAATTGAATGAATGTGAAGCAATTTGTACAAATAGAGACATTTTTGTGAATACAAATGTTTTCCTTTGTATTAGTGTATCATAATTTGCACATGCAACACAGAAGACGTGCATGTGTGGATCAGGTGACACGCGTGCATTCATTGACTCGTTTCTGAGTCGATCCTATTTGATTCATTTGGATTTTGAGACTTTCATTTCGCGGGTTTCGCCTTGCACGATCCACACACAGCTGTCTGAGAAAAGCTGCTACCACTAGATGGCAGTATTCTGCTAAAACAGACAACGGCAGCATAATCAAGCGTTCTTCCGCATTTAAGACGCTTAATGAGAGTGATATTGAAGCACCAAATTTAGTACACAATAATATAGGCCTACCCTATTAATAAAGCATACTTTATAGAGGCAAACATTACGTCAGATTATGAACAACACCCATAGAAAACCATTATAAAACGCTTAACGTGCAATCGCGCGTTGCATGTTCAGTAAGGTGTATTGGCTACTGAGTTTAAATATCACCGTCTTACTGCATTGACGTTAAGCTTTTTCTTTATAATATGCTCTATGGAAGGAAAACTATATAGCCTACAGACAAGAGACTACATGAACGCAACGCACGGCGTTTAATACAATTTTCCTTCCTGTTAAAAAAGAGGTGAAATTTCGCAGTTGCGTTCATATTATATGCTTATTTTTATCTGACTACACATTGTGTACATAGTATACAACCAGGAATTTGAAAATGTCTGTTTTTAAATATTAAAGACGATTTTCGCAGTACATTTGTTTTCCCTTGACCCTTAAGCCATAGGCTATAGTCTTACTATAGCACGATGAGTTTTAACAATATGCAACCATTGTATATCGACATGAAATATTAATTGAAAATCAACTGGCGTAGCGGGCCTGTAGCTGCATATTTCTACATGAGAATGCTTTGACGCGCTAACCACAGTTCATGATGCACAAGGGAACGTCTGCCAATTCCACTAACTGCGTTAAAACCACTGATCTATAATGTCATTCTATATAGATCAGTGGTTAAAACGTTTAATTTGTTTTAATTCAAATTACTTTTTAAATTTAATAACAGACATTTTCAAATTCCAAAGCTCGTAGAAGGTTTCTGTAAGACTGACTTACAAGTAAAATTTGGACAATACTTCCCTTCATGTAGCCTGTATTCTGCAGAAAAATACTGTAATTCACCAAAAGGGTTTTTTCATGTTCAAAATGGTTGTAGTATGTTCAGTGACTAGACTGGCTTACTACAGGTGAAATTGCCCCAATAACTCCCTTCATGTAGCCTATTTAGTAAACAATTATTATTTTATAAAAAAATTACTGTAATTAACCAAACGGGTTTTTGGTGACTTACTACAAGTGAATAATGTAAAATTTCACCTGACTTGTCACTAGGAACGTACTACAACCTTTGGAACATGAATAGAAAAACAATTTACAGTAAATTAAAAAATTGTAGGCTACTGTTCAATCGAGATATTGGCTGGACATAGTACAGTAACAGTAGGCTAAGTCAGTCTGCCCACTAGACTTCCAAGGTTATAATATAACCTTGGAAATATGTTCATTTGAATGAATGACTGGACGTTTATATTTTTTTGACTGTGAGTGGAGTTTGCAGATGGTCCCTTTATAAAATGAGGCGAATATCAAACCTAAAACTTACTTCACTGCACTCTCGGACCGGTTGCTCTCCCATTCACATGCAAAGTTAAACGCAACTGCAGAATTTTTATTTCATGTTAAGCTTTTTCTTTTTAACAGGCTCGGGAAGGAAAATGTTATTAACTTGAAACGCCGTACATTGCGTTCATGTAGTCTCTTGTCTGTAGGATAGTTTTCCTCCCATAGAGCATATTATAAAGAAAAAGCTTAACGTCAATGCAGTAAGACGGTGATATTTAAACTCAGTAGCCAAACACCTTACTGAACATGCAACGTGCGATTGCACGTTAAGCGTTTTATAATGGTTTTCTATGGGTGTTGTTCATAATCTGACGTAATGTTTGCCTCTATAAAGTATGCTTTATTAATAGGGTAGGCCTATATTATTGTGTACTAAATTTGGTGCTTCAATATCACTCTCATTAAGCGTCTTAAATGCGGAAGAACGCTTGATTATGCTGCCGTTGTCTGTTTTAGCAGAATACTGCCATCTAGTGGTAGCAGCTTTTCTCAGACAGCTGTGTGTGGATCGTGCAAGGCGAAACCCGCGAAATGAAAGTCTCAAAATCCAAATGAATCAAATAGGATCGACTCAGAAACGAGTCAATGAATGCACGCGTGTCACCTGATCCACACATGCACGTCTTCTGTGTTGCATGTGCAAATTATGATACACTAATACAAAGGAAAACATTTGTATTCACAAAAATGTCTCTATTTGTACAAATTGCTTCACATTCATTCAATTTTGAATTTTGCACACGCAAGTTGAAAGGCATGGATAAAACATTTCTGCAACATGTATCAAGTTCATTGATAAGTGTGCTTGCACGTGTTCATCATTTTGATACTATAATCATCCCATAGATATGAAACTGCTCTTTTAATTTCAAAGTTGCATAAATTATTCTAACTGACCCTAGTTTTTAAAGGGAGATGGTTACATTAAGAACATACACTTTACCCTAGATGATTAGATGTAAAATTTTTATATTAAATCCACTACCGTTTTATATAGAATTGTTCTATACTCTACACAGTATTAAATTCGATTACATGAGAAGTAACTAATTCAATTACAGAAAAATTAAGAGTAATCCCTTAAATTACTTTTTCAAGGGGAAAGTAATTACTTAGTAATGAGTTACACACAACACTGGTTGTGTTTTAATTTTTCACACAACCTTTAAAATATGTTCATTATTTTTAATTTTTAAATTTTATTAAAAATAATGAGCATTAAATATTTGATCATTTTTGCTCATTTACATTCTTCCACGATGTCTACAGAACAATGTTTGATTTGACTAACTTTTATGTTAAATGCGATTCATTTATTTGACAGCACTAGTAACTTTACTTGTAACTCACCAACACTGTACACAACGCAAAACCAACAAAGGTAAAACAACCCCTTTCCACCTGAGAGCAGCGACTCCGTGATTTCAGCCCGCCTTCTCATCGCGCTCGTAAACACAGGTGACGTCCAGCCCCAGTGTGTTTGTGACAAAGTTTGCCCTTATCAATATAGATTACAATCACAGACGGGCTGCTGATAAATATTCAGACCTCTGCTGGAGCGCTGGACTCATAAACACTGACCCAGCGGGCAGCTGATGTGACCGAGAGACGCCGCGCCACAGTCACACATCTGCAGGCTCAGGTCAGATCAGTGCTGACACATGATGGAGGAGGACACGAGAGAGCACAGCATCCCAGAAAACACCGGAGAAAAGCATCTCTCGTGCACCACATATAGACAGACGGACGTCCTGCCGTATTCGGGTCCGTTTTGACCCGGAAGAGGTACATAAAATGTTTTTAAAAATCCATAGTTTTTAGTACAAAGATTTTTTTAAGTGTGTTAAGACCGTCAAAATAAAAGAAATTATTTTCCTTTCTTTTTTTTTCCACACACACAAAAAAAAAAAAACGTAAGAGATATAACCATTTAAACTAAATTGTTACACCTTTCACTTTCAGGTCCGTTTTGACTCGAAAGTGAACTGTGGCTTTACACATTTTTTATTTTTTTTTACATTAGATTTGTCTCAAATTACTTCTGTAAAATACATTTAGCGTTTTTTCCTACATCATACACAATAATTCTGAAAAATAAATAAATCAAATAATGTCTTAATGTTGAAATAATAAAAGTTTATCCAAGTAAAATGAATATATTTTGTTTGAGAGTACATTTCAGAGTAATATTGATGTTGTATTGGTGTTGTTTTGTTAGAAGAACAATATGTAGGGTTCATAAATTTAGACTTATAGAGTTATAAGTTTCATATGAATTTAATTAAATTCATTGAAGTCAATGGAGCTCATACTGGAAATTCTTATATCAAATGCTCTTATAAATGTCATCTAACGATATATTCAAACACAATTTCTCATAAATAAAGTTTTTTTTTTTCATCACACTGGTTTTTGCTGTAATTCTTGAAAATAAATTAATGAAAAAGAATTTCTCAATTTCTTTTATTAATAAAAGGGGGTAAATTGAGTAATAGCGTGGAAAAAACATGGTAACACGCAAAACTTTAAAACCTTTGTGCATTCACTCATTAATGATAAGTTAGTGATTAGATAAAATATGGTTTTGAAAATATTAAGTTATGACTTTTATAAGCTTTCGGTCCATCGGGTCCAAGCTGACCCAGTAATGCAAATATACCGTTTTTTTAATGCACTAGGAGGGTTAAATAACAGTCGGAATCATCTGAACTTCAGACGACACTGGGTTTGCATAATAAAACACAGAATACTGACCAGACGCCACCGCGACAAAGCAACTAGTGCCAAGATACGGTCACTCTAGTTTCCATTTCAATAATTTCCAGATGAATATTTGAACACATTCTCCATCGGCTGAAATCATGCGGGAAAAAACAACAACGTACTAACCCAAGAACAAGAACACCCCATTACCTCTTTGAGAAAACAGCACAAAGCAAATTAAATAGCATCAGCCTAGAATCACACCAGTAATGTCAATAGATGTACTGTAACATGTGGCTTCAGTCCCCACTGACTACAGCATCAGTCACATGACCAATCACTCACAGGCCTCGTTATAAAGAAGCATTACAGCGCCATCTAATGGAACAAACAAATGAACAAGAATCAGAATAACACCTAATCCCACACACAAGGTCTGATGTAAAAACTGGTGAGTGCCCGTTTCAAAGGGAGGCAGCAAAAGACATCTTATTTTGGCCATATTGTAAGGAAGCACTGCATGTGTGCGTCACAGAGAAAGCAATCCCAGAATGCACTCACAACCAAAAAAAGATATTTGAGTGTTTCTATTTGTGTGCTTGGAGAATCGTGGCGTTAGCTGAGCAACAGATGATCAATATATCCAATAAGCATGTAAAGCTATCAATAAGTTTATTTAGTTTACGGTCACGTTTAGGGGTGTGTAAATGCCACTTCAATAACCCCATGTGCAACCATACATCATTCAACACTCTTCATTAAAGCACATGAAGCACATGGGCGGCAGTGGCTCAGTGGTTCATGTAGTTCAATCCCCGGTTCCACCTGACCAAGTGTCGAGGTGTCCATGAGCAAGACATCTAACCCCAGCTGTGTGTGTGTGTGTGTGTGTGTGTGACACCTAACCCCAGCTGCTCCCGATGAGCTGGATGGCGCCTTGCATGGCTGACACCACTGTCAGTGTATGAGTGAATATGAGGCAATATGTAAAGCACTTTGGTGGCCATTGGGTCTGTGAAAGCACTATATAAATGCAGTCCATTTACCATATGAGAAATTAGTTGATGTATTTGTGGATGTTAGTTTTTTTCTCTGGGAAATAAACACAGATTTCTACGGTAGAGATTAAAATTCAAACAACTTTTATCCCAGTTGCTCTGATAATATGAATATTTGTAACACAGAGATAACGGTACTGTGTGGTTGAAAAGACAGATGACAACTGCTCTCTCTGGATCAGCGGCAGCGCCAACACAGATCTGAATGTTTCGGTGTGATTTTGTCAAAGGTTTAATAGACAAAGGCGAATCATTTAAGTCATTTAAGAATAAGAACGCAATCTTTTAACGATTAATTGCGCAGCTCTATTGTGTTTATTTATTATTTTCATACTTTTATCCCCAGCTGAGTGAAACGACACTTGCGCCTGCTGTTTGTGTTTCGCATAAAGGCAAGCTTTCTGCTGCCGTCACACCTTACATGTGTTTTGTTGAACTAATGATGACATCATCAGCTAAAAAGCACGCACAGGTTTCTTTACTTCCCTAACAAGAGCGCACCCGAGTCACGCCACAGCTCCAGTGCTTCTGAACTCAACTTTCACTTGAACAATTTTTCATGCGAACCGTGCCACGTTTCAAACCAAACCACCAGTGTGAAAGCATCAGTGGACTTTGCGAACCTGTTTCCAGTTTATGTGCCATATGCATCCATCATGTAGTGAATGGATATTGTGCACTGAATGAGATGTTCCTCACCTCGCGGGTTTATCCGGGTCGCTGCTCTCGGCACATTTAAAGGTCACTCTTTTGGCACACATCGGGGGTCCTGCAGTGGCCACTGGACTCCTGGCCTTCACTGGGGAAACTGAGGAGGCTTTCCCACGCTGTTCCTCCTCCACTAAAAGATCCCGGAAGGAACGGGAAGAGGGCGGGGACTGAACTGCTGTCGACCTGACAACACAAGGATGCAAGGTGAGTAACAATGGTTGGACAAACATCATTAGACAAATGATGTTTCCAAATGACACAAACGTAATGGCTCTGCCAAAATCATCCTTAGGCTTAGGGCCTTTCGACTAATTCTCCTTATACGGGGCGACACATTGTGCATTTATATTCCCACCTTTTATTTTTAAAATTGATGGTCTTTTACTTTTTAATGATAAAAACTGAGATAAAATTGTTAGCAATAGTTTATGCACTATATAATGCATTAGGTATCACTGATCTAGGTGTAAATATGCTATTTATACAACATGTTAAAATGTATTAGTATCAGATTTATTCGTTTACTAAGGGTGTTCACACACTGGTAGTTCGGTTCGCTTGGTCCAGACCAAAAAAAAAAAAAACATTTAGTCCTGGTCCGCTTAGCATTCACATTGGCATTTTATCATCAAACCTAAAGATACCGAACCTTAAAGGCATAGGGATACATTCACAACCTGGTCGGCTTTTATTACATATATTTCGCGACGGAACAATAGTGTTCTGGGATAAATGCGCTCACTGTATGTGCATGGCTACATATGATGGTATTTTGACCAGCTGAGAACTCGTCAAGAGCTTATAAAATGTGTAAAGGAGTCAAAACAGTGTCAGGAATCCCTCCGTCACACAAACCGAGATCTGCTGTGAGGAGACGCGGTTCTGATGCCTTTACTGAACTCAGACGGGCAACATCACGACCATGACGAGAAAAAACAGGAACTTGAGCATTCTGTCCTTTATAGAGTCACATGTTTATGACATCACCGTCTTGCGTTCATATTCAGTCGAACCGCACCAGAGTTCGGACCGAGAGTTTCAGCGTCTCGGTCCGCTTGTTTGATGCGCACCAGGGTTTAGATGGCAGCGTTCACACTTATTCACATGAACCGCACTAACAGAGCAATCGCACCAGAGTTCGTTTTAATCAAACCAAACATGCCAATTGTGAACACACCCTAAAACCTAAACCAAACCCATCAAAAAACACTGTTACTTGAAATAAAATAAATGTTAGCTGAAATAAAGTGAGATTTTTTTTATATGTAAAAAAAAAAAATGTTCATGTAATTTAACTTCCATCCATTCATCCTGCTATTATCCTCTAGAGGGTCACGGGGATGTTTTGTGCTTTGCTGGACTATGATGTGTCTTTGTAAATGGTTTGCATCTTCATTTGCTACTGACACCGGTTACACTTGCAGGGGGCAATGATTGAAAAGCGATTTGACCAATAGTGTGCAGGCATTGTACATATTCAACCAACTGTAGTGTGCGAGAGATGATGGGATCAGAAAATGATCAAAGCAATGCAAGCACGTGTACAGCGTTTAGAAGACACTTAATTATTCAGTAATATTATACATTCAACTGCACCAATACTATCAATACTTGAATTGACTGAAAAATGACACTATAACCTTATGAAGAGCTGCTGATAACTGAATCAAATGTGTTTCATTATTGATGAATTTTGCAACATTGTCTTTACAGCATCATTTGAATTTGTCTCATATTTGATGAAGCTTGCATCACTGAATCTGTTATTTTCCTGTTTATTATTGTGAGGCTGCTATGAAACAATCTGTATTGTATAAAGTGCTGTTTAAATAAAGGCGACTTCACTTGGGATATTATGTATGAGGACTGTAGAGAGCACGTCAATAGGAAAGCCAAGCCAAGCCAAATTTGGAAATCCCAAAGAGGCCGTGCTGTCACCCTACCTTATACCTATTTCTCAGACATAATGGAATAAGGAAAGCAGAAAGTGATCAGGCTCTCACCAGGTCTTCACAGGTTTCACTGGAGTAACAGATGGTGGTGATTTCGCAGACGTGATCTCCGTGCTTCCCTCTCTGGACGCCAGAGCCATCATCTTCCTCTGCTTCTGAGACATCTTACTGGGAGTGACCGCAGCTTTACTGCTGCTCGATCTGGCATTTAAAAAAAATAATTAAGTAGAGTAGAAGCAGAAAAAAAAATAGAGTATAGACACTTAAAAACCTCTTAAGTGTCACCGGCCCACCGGTGGGCCCAAATCCATTACATTTTTAAAACAGTAATATCCTATACTAGACCTAAACTAATCTTGACAAACTATTATGATTTTCAAAATAAATTACAGAGGAGCCGTAATTTATCAATTTGCAACAAGAATATTTTCATACTCCTAAGGCGTGTTTAGACCTTTATTTTGAAATAGTGATGAACATGAAAAATCATGAAAGAAGGGTAGAAACCTCAGTTTGTTTTCATGCCAAGAGTTCAAAAGATAGAATCCATTCAATTATTTTAGAAAAAAGGTCTGACATTTTTTTAAATATAAAGAAAAAAATGATAGATTCACCATTTGTGATGTGGCAGCGAGCTATAATGCACATACTTGTTTCTTAGAGGTTGAATTCATATCAAAATCGGCCAAACTTCTCATATTACTTCTGAATAGGATGTCTACTTCATGAATTGTATGAAAATTGTGGAAATAATGGTTCAGATCACTCAAAACACATATGGAAATGGAGGCGCCCTTATATGGGCAGTTATGGAATCTGGTTGTGCCCTAGTGGAAGCGTTCGGTACTGCGCCCAAACAAAATCTCACTGAAAGCTCATTTTTTGAGATATCAACCTAAAATTTGAAACACAACTTGTTCAGATTTTTGGCTTTGATTTTTTTTTGCAGTTTTAGAGCCGCCCAGGTTTTGAAAATATATATTTTATTTAAATATGTAAATTTTTTACATTGTACATTTTCATAAACTCAAACTTATATAACTTTTTTTCTGTTTCACTTTCTTAATTTATTTCACTTCTACAAAAGTCTGCCAAATGTCTTCTTTAAAACGAGACCAATCTTACGTCTATATTCCAAAGCATTCTTGAATTACAACCATTTAAGTTTGAAATGTGCATTTTCATGTATATTCAAAAAAAGGGGGGGGGGTGACAGTTAACAGGTTAAAGCTTAAAAATTAAAATTCTGTCATCATTTACTCGCACTCAAGTTGTTCCAAACATTTATGATTTTTTTCTTCTTCTGCTGAACACAAAAGAAAATATTTTGAAGAATGTCGGTAACCCAATAGTTGATGGACCCCATTTACTTCCATAGTATTTTTTTTCCAACTATGGAAGTCAATAAGATCATCAACTGTCTTCTTTTGTGTTCAGCAGAAGAAAGAAATTCAAACAGGTTTGAGGGTGTGTTAATGATGACAGAGTTTTCATTTTTAAGGGAATTATTCCTTTAACTGTGCTCTGTGAACTACCGTGACTTACGAGCTGGGACCTTTGGCTGTGGCACCCAGGTTCAGTGAGTTGGCCTCCATCTCCATGATGGCCCTGAGGTCCAGGACAGGAGCTGGTCTGGAGAGACTGAACATACATTCAGAATTACAGCGACACCAATGAAGAAGATCAACTGCTTGCGGTGACAGATTTAAATCACCTTGCTTTGACTGTCGGGATGGGTTCAGGGGTGGAAGAATTAGTGGGAATGGGGCCATTTTGCAGAACAGGGTTGCCAGGAGGTGTCTTTAGTCCCACTGGTCCACGTCTCTCCTCCTACAAAAGACAATTTTTCTTAAATGGAGAGTTCACACAACGATGAAAGTTCTGCCATCATTTACTCCGCCTAATGATATATGAGAGCTCTCGTGGGAGGGAAAATGTTCAGAGAAAAATGACTTTAATTTTGGTACTTTCACAGCTATTTTATTACAAAAGATGTCCGACAGCAATGTTAGAATGTTTCTGTGTATCAAAGAATCCTGAAAACAGCACAACTGTTTTCAACATTGACAATAATACATAAATGTTTCTTGAGCAGCAAATCATCATATTAGAGTGATTTCTGAAGGATCATGTGACACTGAAGACTGGAGTAATGATGCTGAAAATTCAGCTTTGATCACAGGAATAAATAAAATTGTACAATATATTCACATAGAAAACAGTTATTTTAAATTGTAATAATATTTCACAATATTACTCACAACTCTACTGTATTTTTGATCAAATAAACGCAGCCAAGTGAGCATAAAAGACTTCCAACCCCAAAACTTTGAACTATAGTGAATATAAATAACAAAAAAAAAAGCTTTAAAAAAGGACACAGCTGACATGATCAGAATTATAATGTAGTAATCTTTAAATTTGACTAATAAAACAAATTACTTAAACTGTATATAAGTGTATAGAGTACAGTATATATTCCACTAAAAATAATATCTTAATTTATAAATATTATATTACACCAAAAATAATCATAATTTTTGGAAATCATTTTGGGTTAAATATTACCCAATAAATAATATTATTGATATTAGTGAAACCGAAAACAACATTTAGGTTTTTTTATATTAAAGAATGAAATGCATCTATACTATGGAGCATTGTGAGTTGATAGTAAAGTGTTGTGCTATTACCTGTGTATCAGGCCTGTCCTGGAAGACGGGGGACGGCAGGTCTCGAGGGCTTCCCACCTCCATATAACTGCCCTCCGAGTCAGACGTGATGAGCTCCTGCAGAGACTCCACTGAACTGGCCTTCACCGAACCACACAGACCTGGGGAAACACAACAGTCAACCAGATCCAGTCCAAACTAAGAGCATCGGTATTCAGGAAAACTACTAAAATGATAGAAATGACTGAATAATTCACATTTGCTTTGTGATCACATGATCTTCAGTGTGCAGAGCGCCATTTAGATCAGTGGTTCTCAACCTTTTTGTCTTAAAGGCCTCGATTGTTCCACATTATACAGTATATAATGTAAAAATTTAATTTTATGATGTGCTTTATGATGGGTTTATGTTGTGTTTGTGTCGGTTGGTGTATTTATGTATTTTATATTGTTTGAACTGACTGTACAGCACTTTGGTCAGCAGTGGCTGTTTTAAACGTGCTTTATAAATAAAAGTGCCTTGCCTTATATTCAGAGCCCCCGGATGTAAACTATAACATTTCCTCTGTATGTTCATCTGTATGAAGATGACTTGACTTGACATGTTCTGCTGTAATTATGATAAAGCTGCTTGTTTTCAAACATGAAACGTGTCAAAATACTAAATTGACAATTATTTTTGTGATTGTAAACAATTCAACAACTGAATATTCTTCTGCTGATCACAAAAGATGATATTTCGAAGAATCAACAAACAGTGGATGGACCCCATTGATTTCCTACTATGGAAGTCAATGGGGTCCATCAACTGTCTGGTTACCGACATTCTTCAAAAATATCTTTTGTGTTCAGCAGAAGAAAGAAATTCATACAGGTTTGAAACAAGTTGAGGGCGAGTAAATGATGACAAAACTTAAATTTTTAGTGAACTATTCCTTTCATTTAAATAATTGTAATTAATCCTGCGAATCATATAGAAGTTTGCTGAGGCCCCTGGTTGAGAACCACTCATTTAGATGATCAATATTTGTTTTCGGAAGAAAGAGTGAGTGGTATTTATCTGTTACGAGGGTATTTTGGACCCAGCTCAAAAGAGACCACAGAGGGATCTGAATAATTCCCTATTCCCAAGTATAAGCAATAGTAAAAGTGATGCTTGCCCTAGCAAACACAACTAATTAGTAGGGGTGTAATGATACCCCTCATGTCACGATTTGATAAATATTGAGATACTGAACTCAAGATATGATATTATTGCGATACTCCAAGACATATGGTAAAAGGTTAACAAAAATGCACTGTTGATTACAATTCAAAAAATGTATATTTAAAATAACGTAGTCCACTTTTTACTGGTAACATAAGAGATTTGGCATTATCAGGACCCACAATATCCCCCCACTGCATTATTATACATTATATTCAACATTGCATATAATAGTTTAATGTAGTATAAGCCCTGGACCTTGAGAGTGGACCTTTTAGTGTCAATGTACACTAAAACTCTGTAAACTTGAATTTTTTTCTCACACAGTAATTTTAACTACACACAATACACATATTGTCACTATCCACGATACGTATTGTTGCATATTTGTGTTGCGAAATATTGTGACACAATATATTGTTATAGTCCTACGAGCAGGTCGGAGCGCATTAAGGGTTTTCTGTCGGGTTAGCGGCCCCTAATTTAATAACTAATGATCTTTGCAACGGAAGTGAATGAATCAAAACTAAGGGTGTATTCACACCTGCCTTGTTTGGTTCGATTGAATCGAACTCTAGTTCGTTTCCCCCCTTGGTGCGGACCTTTTGGGCAGGTGTGAATACAGCAATCGAACTCGGGTGCGGACCAAACAACCGAACCGAGACCCAGCTGAAGAGGTGCTCTCGGTACGGTTCCAAACGAACTCTGGTACGGTTCGTTTAAGGTGTGAACATGAACCGACCCAACTGCAAGAAAGCACTGCGCCTTTGAGTTAACAGGCTTCCGTAGTCGGAGTTGAGTTATGGGTAAGTGATCTGTTGTAGCCTACTACATTACATCTGTTGCGTCGTGTGTGAATCATTGGAATGGAATGAATGAATGAGTGTGTGCATCAGGACATTCACATACAGAGCGTTCTCTTTAGTCTAATCGCGCATAGATGCAAAAAAGCATTTGCAGTTCATATAATGTAACGATAGTTATAATACAAGGATGATGCTGCGTTAATTTACGTTAAGCCTTTTTTGCACTTCCTGATTTCCCTACTTGAGAATCCTTGTCCAATGAATGGACGACCTTAGCACACGTGTGGTTTTGTTTACAAATTTTGGTTCACTTGCAAAAAGAGCAGTGTGAAAGCGAACCGTACAAAAAATAAAAATAATTTATTTGGTCCGGACCAAAGCAAGTGAACTATCGGACTTTCCTGGTGTGAATACACCAGGGGTCTCCAACCTTTTTTCATTTGAGAGCTACTTTTTAAAAATGAAAGTGGCCGGGAGCTACTCATGTAATACAATACTTAAATCTCCTAAATAATGACTCATAACTCATATTAACAGCTATCCAAACTGTTTTAGGCCTATATATGTCACCCTTAAATGTCAGAGAAAAGAACAGAATCAGAGATCAATTTTTTTGTATAGAAAATTGTACTTTGCATATTATGCTGTAAACACATAATTATAGTTGATTTTATAGTGCATCATAACTAGAGATGAAATGGCATGAAAATTTCCTTTCATGATTATAGTGACCAAAATGATCACGGTTATCACAGAATCCTGTTTAAAAAATACTACTAAATAAAATCAATTCACCAAGTTATATGTCGAAAACGAGCAAATAACAAAAAAAATAGCATCAATATGCTCTTTTTGTTTAAATAAACATCAGGACATTCACAAACAGAGCGTTCTCTTTAGTCTAATCGCGCATAGATGCAAAAAAGCTTTTGCAGTTCATATAATGTAACGATAGTTATAATACAAGGATGATGCTGCGTTAATTTACGTTAAGCCTTTTTTGCACTTCCTGATTTCCCTACTTGAGAATCCTTGTCCAATGAATGGACGACCTTAGCACACGTGTGGTTTTGTTTACAAATTTTGGTTCACTTGCAAAAAGAGCAGTGTGAAAGCGAACCGTACCGAAAAAATAAAAATAAAAATTATTTGGTCCGGACCAAAGCAAGTGAACTATCGGACTTTCCTGGTGTGAATACACCCTAACTTTAGCTGGACAATAACTTTATTCTAGATCTGCTGTACAGCCAAAACAATCTGTTACTTTAATTTCCTATTATCACTGTAAAGCTGCTTTGAAACAATCTATATTGTTGAAAGCGCTATATAAATGAAGCTGACTTGAATAATTAGTGTCTTGTTAGCAAGTTGACCTGTAGTGTGCGGGCTGTGGGTGACGTCAGTAGGAGAGCTCTGAATGACATCAGACAGGTTGTATCCGCCAAAGCTGTCAGAGCGGCGCCGAGGTTTCCTCTTAGCCCTCATCTTGGCCTTCTTCAGCAGGATATCACTAAGTTAAACACAGTGAGAACTCTTACAGATGGGCAGTCCTTCATATCGAGATTACAGTGTTTCAGCAGGGCAGATTTCACACCTGGAGTGATCGGCTTCAGAGCCGCTCTTACAGTCCACAGCAGAGTCCCAGTCTCCGTCCTCATAGGCGCTGAGATCAGGAGCGTCGGCGTACGGCGTAATGAGGCGTCTCTGCATGGCTGGGATCTGAAGGAGGAGTTCGCTGTCAGGATCTCGGAGCGAAGCTTTAACGAACACGATAAGAGCGATGATTTAAAACTTACCATCCTCCTGTACGCAGATGTTAGATCCCGGAGGACGTCATCGCTCAGGATATCCAGCGATCTGACAGACACATGAACAACATCTGTTCATTCACTACAGTTCAAAAGTTTGGGGTCAGTATGATTTTTTGTTAAATAAATTAATTCTGTCATTCAGCAAGATAAAAGACATTTATATAGGCTGTGAGACAGAGGGTTGATTGGTACCATTTTGAGGGATTAAACCGCATGGTGATTTTTGTGTAGGTATATGACCCTGTATTTGAAAAATGTGTGATAGCATTAGATTCAAGGTAGTTTTTGGTTACGGAGGACGATTTTCAAACATATGTCAAGAAAAAGGATAAATGAATTTATCTTTAAATAAATTTTAAATTTTATAAAAAAAATTTTTTATTTTTTTTTATTTTTATAATAAAAAAATAATATTTTTTTTAAATAAATTAAAAAAATTATAAAAGGATAAATTTCTCTCTCTTGTAGTCACTGAACACCTTACCTTGAGGTAGGATGATATAAGTGTTGATTTCTAATGAAAGCTACCACGGATCGGATGCTATCACACATTTCCCAACACTAGAGATGTGTACCTTCATGAAAATCAAAAAGAAATTTAATCCCTCAAAATGGTACCGGTAGCCCAAATTTGGGGTCCCGTCTCATGGCATAATAATGTTATAAAAGATTTATATATTTCAAATAAATGCTGTTTTTTAAAACGTTTTATTTACCAAAGAATCATGAAAAATAAAATGCATCATGGTTTTCACAAAAAATACGAATCAGCACAACTGTTTTCAACATTGATAATAGTTCGAAATATTACTTGAGCAGCAAATCATCATATTAGAGTGATTTCTGAAGGATCATGTGACACTGAACACTGGAGTAATGATGCTGAAAATTCAGCTTTGCGTTGCAGAAAAAAATTACATTTAAAAAAAAAAAAAAAAAAAAAAAAAAAAAAATTATATATATATATATATATATATACACTCACCGGCCACTTTATTAGGTACCCCATGCTAGTAACGGGTTGGACCCCCTTTTGCCTTCAGAACTGCCTCAATTCTTCGTGGCATAGATTCAACAAGGTGCTGGAAGCATTCCTCAGGGAGTTTGGTCCATATTGACATGATGGCATCACACAGTTGCCGCAGATTTGTCGGCTGCACATCCATGATGCGAATCTCCCGTTCCACCACATCCCAAAGATGCTCTATTGGGTTGAGATCTGGTGACTGTGGAGGCCATTTTAGTACAGTGAACTCATTGTCATGTTCAAGAAACCAATTTGAAATGATTAGAGCTTTGTGACATGGTGGAAGTAGCCATCAGAGGATGGGTACATGGTGGCCATAAAGGGATGGACATGGTCAGAAACAATGCTCAGGTAGGCCGTGGCATTTAAACGATGCCCAATTGGCACTAAGGGGCCTAAAGTGTGCCAGGAAAACATCCCCCACACCATTACACCACCACCACCAGCCTGCACAGTGGTAACAAGGCATGATGGTTCCATGTTCTCATTCTGTTTACGCCAAATTCTGACTCTAACATCTGAATGTCTCAACAGAAATCGAGACTCATCAGACCAGGCAACATTTTTCCAGTCTTCAACTGTTCAATTTTGGTGAGCTCTTGCAAATTGTAGCCTCTTTTTCCTATTTGTAGTGGAGATGAGTGGTACCCGGTGGAGTCTTCTGCTGTTGTAGCCCATCCGCCTCAAGGTTGTGCGTGTTGTGGCTTCACAAATGCTTTGCTGCATACCTCGGTTGTAACGAGTGGTTATTTCAGTCACTGTTGCCCTTCTATCAGCTCGAACCAGTCTGGCCATTCTCCTCTGACCTCTGGCATCAACAAGGCATTTCCGCCCACAGAACTGCCGCTCACTGGATGTTTTTTCTTTTTCGGACCATTCTCTGTAAACCCTAGAGATGGTTGTGCGTGAAAATCCCAGTAGATTAGCAGTTTCTGAAATACTCAGACCAGCCCTTCTGGCACCAACAATCATGCCACGTTCAAAGTCACTCAAATCACCTTTCTTCCCCATACTGATGCTCGGTTTGAACTGCTGGAGATTGTCTTGACCATGTCTACATGCCTAAATGCACTGAGTTGCCGCCATGTGATTGGCTGCTTAGAAATTAAGTGTTAACGAGCAGTTGGACAGGTGTACCTAATAAAGTGGCCGGTGAGTGTATATATATATATATATATATATATATATATATATATATATATATATATATATATATATATATATATATATAAATAAAAAAAAGATTATTTTAAGTTCACAATATTTGATCAAATAAATGCAGCCTGGTGAGCATGAGAGACTTCTTCAAAAACATGAAAAAAAGAATCGTACTGACCCAAAACATTTGAATAGTTGTAGTGCTGGGCGATATGACGATATTATATTTTGACCTCTTGTATCTCTTTGCTTAAATATAATGCAAGGCTAAGAGTGAACTAAGGACATAACTTGCAAGCTATCACGTTTGAGGAGATTAGTTTAAGATAGTTTGACAGATGTAAGCTGTAAAGTACGGAGACCAAGAGGGGACATGTTCAGTTCACGTACGATAAGGACGTCATTAACTCGACAAAATGATCTTGTGGCCACGAAAAATATTCTCACACTCCCACAAGTTATGCCATGACCACGATAAATCTAAACCGCAGTAAAGGATCTCATCTTACTTGGACTCCAGCAGCGCCGCCATGTTGAGGACGATGAACTGCAGACAGGAGAGTTTGAGCTGATCAGCGTTGAACACGGTGGCGAACTCCAGCAACTCTGCTGCGTTCTTCAGCGTCACTGCACACAATACAACACTCACAGATTACACTAGATATTTTCAGGACGTGTTGTGTCCATGACTGAAGAATCTTACCGGATGAAAGCACCTCATTTCGGTGTCCATTTTGCACTTTTAGACTATGTATAGTATGTTATATGCGATTTAATAATAACAAAAATCAAGTCAAGTGCAAGATAAAAGCTTAATAGTCAAAATTAAAGGGAGAGTAGTTCTTGGAAGCTATTGTTTAATCTCTAAACTTTCCCAGAACTTTGTTTTCTCTCCATCTACGGTCTTGTATTTTAGTCATGGAACTTTTTATCTACATTACACAAGCCCACTCTCATGCTTTACTAGTTACTTGAAAAAAGTAATCTGATTACAAAGTAACTAGTAAAGCATGATAGTGGGCTTGTGTTTTGCTACGCACTTCATTCCACCAAGCGTTGTCTGTTTTCTTCTGATTTATTTAAATCCAGATTGATGAATTGATTAACAAAACATCGATTGAAATTAAGGTACAAATTATACAAAACGAAAAAAATTCAAACAAACTTATGAAGCGGTTAAAAATCGTCTCCGACCCACTCCATATCTCCCGACATATTGTATTCAATCCATTTCCATAATATCATAAAATTGTAACAAAAATATGAAACCAAATAAATTGACTTAAAGTCCCCATGAATTCAAAATTGACCATACTTGCTTTGTTTGCCTAAATTGATCGTTTTGTGGTGAACAATCCATCCATGCAAGTCAATCCACACACAAAAATTTTTTGGCTTCGTAATCTTTAAGCAAAATCTGAAATTTCCCCTCCCCTCTGCATTGGAGGACCTTCCCTGATGACGTAGGTTTAACGGTTTGGGTGTCTGCTTAACATCCGTAACCACACCCCTCCAACTGACAGTAGACAGGCTGAATGAAAACACCTACTTTTCTAGGTCCAATCAGGTGCTAGTTGGGAAAAAAGCCACGCCCACTATTTTGCCTCATTTAGTATTACGTTTCTCTCGGAAATACGTCACAACACTAGTAGGGGTGGAACGGTACACAGAAGTCACGGTTCGGTTCATACCTCGGTTCAGACATCACGGTTCGGTACGATTTCGGTACAATGGAGGGAAAAGCAAAACAAAAATGCAGAAGGCATTGTATTTTTTAAATAAGTTTTATTAATAAAGGCATAGAACCAGTTTATTTGTAGTGCACTGACAATAGTTTTATATAATTCGTTTATTAATTAATTAATAAAAAGACAAAAAGACCTTGCGATATGTTTGGTAATTGTACCTGAATTAATTTAAAATTAATTTGCTATATTTCAGATAAATATATTTGTTTTCCTTAATTTTAATTAACATTATTAATTAACAATGTAACATTATTCTCATCTGAATTATAAATAATTGATTTCTGTATAAAATAATACTACCATTAAAAACGCATTCGATTTTCTTTTTTAATCAATGTAGAATGTGTAAGATTAGTGCTCCGAGGACAAGAAATGAAAACCAATGCGATATGATGAATGTCTAAAAGATGGGACCCACAGAGTGTTTTGAAATGGAGTTGGATAAATATGTTTTGCTTTTAAAACAGTGTGTGTGTGTGTGTGTGTGTGTGTGTGTGTGTGTGTGTGTGTGTGTGTGTGTGTGTGTGTGTGTGAGAGAGAGAGAGAGAGAGAGAGATTTTGGTTGGGTGACAGTTGTAGGTTACAGTTTGACAAGAGTTTAGAGTGTGACAAAAGCACAATGTTGTGTTTTATTGCGAGTGTACACAAATATAAGTAAACACTTTGCAGGTTTAATGATCTGTATGAACAAAATGACGGAGTATGTTTTTTATGTTTCCACTGTTCGATCGAGGCCGCGCCTCGCTCTCTCACACACACACACACTCCAGCATTGCAATCTTGACATCGCAGCCTGTTCATTATGCGGTCACACCAAACGCGAATAGAGCGTTAAGTTCGACGCTAGTCCAAAGCGAATAGGATGCGCGTATAAAGCCAACGTTTGAAGTGAACGCGCGTTCAGAGCTAAGCCGATGGTAGCCTACAGATTATGTGTCCCTAAAGAACCCGCGTATCTAACGGTAGTTCCGCATTACATTAATTAATTTTCACGCGAGTTTTATTTATTTTTATACTGTGTATTCTCCGTGTAAATTCGTGCACCGAACCGTGACGCCCGTACCGTTTCGGTTCGGTACGAATACATGTACCGTTCCACCCCTAAACACTAGTGCTGCCGCGATTAGTCGACTTAGTCGACCATGCAAATTAGTCGACGGCAATTTTTTTAGTCGACGTGTCGTTTTACTATTGACCGCTATTTATTTTTGGTCTCCCGTCACAAACGGCTCACTGTAATTCACCTCCACACACCAGTCTGTGCGCCGTGCGCGCCCTGCTGGTTTATCTGCTATCATTTTCCTTCACGTTCCCGCCCGCCTTTTGATATGAAAAATTGCAGAGGCAGGTGACGGAGCTTTCACAGTGGGCTCGTTTGCTGCGGTCCGAGTCCGAGCGCGAGCGCGATTGTTCCCGGCGCCCCCCGCAGCGTTGGTCTGGTTTCACACTCAATTCTATCGAACCCTGTTGAGTTTGCGTGCATCTTATGCCATCGCAAACGTGCACGGCGCATGATAGAAAACAGAACGCGGGTCAATATACCGGTATTGTGTTTTTCAAACGGACTCTTTTGAGGAGACAGTGGATTTCCAAATGTGTTGCCCTGATTGCACGCGCAATGCGCGAATACACTGCAGACTCAACTTTCGCGTATCCAAGGTAAATCATCAACACTATCATCCCTTAATTACATGCGTTTTATTTAACTAAATGCATCATAATCAGCTAAAACGCATGGGCAGGCAGGTTACTTAACTTCCTGAACAAGCGCTCCCGAGTCCGTGTTGCTTTCACATTCACGCGAACCGCGGCACGGGCCCGCCATGCACGCAAGTGTAAACGCGAGCTACATAACTGCGTGCCTGCCTGCTTTCAGCGCGACTCATAGTGGGCTAGTCCAGACTCTCAATTCAATTCCAATTTATTTGTATAGCGCTTTTCACAGAAAATGCATTGCATCTACTTTACTATTCAGAGTGATGTTATCAGTTATGCTTTTCAGAAATGTACATAAATTAATCATTATTAGCTTACTGTACATTTTTTAAGGCAGAACAAAGAGCTAATTTAAGTAATACATACATGTTTGTTATTAGAGGATTAGATTAGGACTCTGACTAATATGGAATAGCCTAATGGAAATGCAGATATTTAATGCTTAGATTGTTAATACATAATGTTTTTGAACAGGTGACATTTTATGTTTTGGCCCTTCAGTTGAGTTCAAAATAAAATGGACACAACGAAATAAACACTTGATTTTTTTAAATTAGTCGTTTAGATTAGTCGACTAATCGAAAAATTAGTCGAAAGATTAGTCGTTAGAAAATTAGTCGTTAGTGGCAGCACTACACAACACTGGAGAAAAGTCGTTTGCAACTTCCGGTTCACGGGGACTTTAAATGGCTACATTACTATTACATTTACAACAAAATATCTGAACATGAACGACAAGACTGAAAGAGAGACTTACGGTTCTCAGTGATGGCGACCTCGCAGATCTCCTTCAGCCGAGTGATCAACAGCTGATCAGCCACCACAAGCACGTTACACACGAACTCCACATTCACAGACTCTGAGAGACACACAGAGAGACGAGATATGGCTTACACAGGAGAGAGGAAGAAACAGCAGGATATGACAGCAAAGCACAGCATCTGGGCTGAAACCTCTGACAGTGGGAGACTCGTCTGTGTAGATGTACTCCAGAATGACCTGCAGGACATCAGAGGTGGTGGGCATGTCGAGCGCAGTGCAGCTGGTGGCCTGAAGGGGGCAGAAGAGATTATATTTAAAAACAGCTCCAGTTCAGAGAGACTAAAGATGCTTCATGTTGCTCAATCGTACCTCTATCCAGGGGCTGCCCAACATACTGTTGAAGTACTCTGAAAATTTAATAGTGCATCTATATTAAAATATGATAACCACAGAACAGGAATAGTTCACCTGAAAATGAAGCAGTTAGTTATGTTCATAATGTTTCAAACGTGTATAACTTTGTCTAAACTGCTGAATGAAAGCGAATGGGGACTTTCAACCATAAAATTAAGGATCTTCAGCAAGGAACTTCAATTCCAGTCTGTTTCTCACAAAGAAAATAAATGGGTTACGAGGTAGTTTTCTAGTCATTTTTAGAGCTCTCCACTATCAGCTTAACATCTCTTTGCTTCCACAGGAGTCATTAAACCTGTGTTAATGATGACAGAATTTTAATGTGAAATGTCCACGAAAGAATAAAATCACTGCGAGTCAGAAATCATATTTAAATGTCACTTGAGTTTAGTTTAAACAGATATACACTACCATTCAAAAGTGTGGGATTTTTTTTTTTTTTTTAAATGTTAAAAGAAGTCTCTTCTGCTCACCAAGGCTGCATTTATTTAACAAAAAATAAAGTAAAATTGTAAAATATTACAATTTAAAATAACAGTTTTCTATGTGAATATTGTAAAATGTAATTTATTCCTGTCACCATTACTCAGCATGTCACATGATCCTTCAGAAATCATTCTAATATGATGATTTGCTGCTCAAGAATTTGTTTCTGATTATTATTATCACTGTTGAAAACAGTTGTGCTGCTTCATATTTTTGTGGAAACCGTGCTATTTTTTTTTTTCAAGATTCTTTGATGAATAGCAAGGATTATTTGAAATATCATTCTTTTGTAACATTACAAATGTTATAAATGATCAATTTAATGCATCCTTGCTGAAGTATTAATTTCAAAACTTTTAAACGGTAGTGTATTTATTTGACAAAAATGAAAATGAGGCTGTGTAGGCCAGACATATACTGAGTTTATGATTTTCCTGTCCAATGAAAGAAATTATTTAAAGACATATTTTCAATGCTTCATCAGCTAAATGGTTAGTAATGAGGTACACAGTGTAATAGACTTCTTCACCTTCCAACACTCACAGCTTAATTTTCATTTGAGTCAGATTTAATATGGTATCTGAATCATTTTGAGTAAAGTCTACGGCAGTGGACACAAGTGTGAAAGAAAACGTTTGGTCTCACCCAGCCGAGCGCACAAAACGCATTTGTGACAGGGAAACTCTTTCCCATCTTCAGAGCGCAGTGTGACATCACAGAGATACAAGCTGAGGACACACAATGAGAAGATCTGTATTCACAGCCAATCAGAGAGTGTATGACATCGACTGATGTTTCTCAAAGGAACAACACACACACCATTTTTTCTGGTTGAGTCGTAGCTTGTTGCCCGTCTTCTTCTGCGCCACACTGATCTTCCCATTTTCAAACTTCACTCCGTCAAGCCTGGTCAAACAAAAAATACAGTTATTGATGACTTATTGATTACAGCAATAGCCAATAATATCCCCTCATTTATATTTATATATATATATATATATATATATAAACATACACATGACAAATCAACAAATCATTATCCTGAATGTGCGTGAAATGAAACGTTAAAGGAGCTGTATGTAAGAAATGTATTTCAATTAATCATAAAATTACCCTGAAATGTCACTAGACATTAAGAAATCATGTACATTTCAAATACTTATATCACTGACAACAGTAGTCCAGCCAGGATATTGTCATTTAAAAAGTGCAGTTGCAGCCCTCAACTGATGTTGATGTTGTCATGTTGTGTTTTGGTCTGATGCTCCACCCTCCACCTATCTACCAATCACGAAGTCAGTAGTGTTGTGGCATCCGGGTTGCCAGCTCTGCTCTAGTTACCGCAGCTGCAGCTCGTCACGTTCCTGCTGGATCCTGCAGCCTATCTGGCAACCTCGAGTCAAGGAGGAGGGGGAGGGGATACACCACTCTACAGTAATTTGAAAGTGATTGCAGTACCAGTTTTGGCCACAATCTTACATACAGCTCCTTTAAATATGATTCGTCAGTTTCAATTGGTCCTATCCACAATGTTATCTTTATGACACAAGGTTGTAATACTTGTAATAGTGATTTGTGCAGTTGAATTTGAAAATGGAAGCAAATATCAATTAGTGGATACTTTAAAAGCCTAAACTTTATTATGTGTTTATCTCTGTTTTTGACCATATTGCAGGAGTAAGTAAAAACATTTTCTCAATGTGTATAGTTAAAAAAATTCTACACATTAATTCATAAAATGTTTATACTGACAAACTTGATAGAAAAAGGAAGTGCCTTTGTATTGTTTCATGCACTGTAAAAAAAATGTATGATCAGTAATTCAAGGCAACATCTTTAACTCATAAAAGAAAGTTGAAATTAACTAAATTATTTTTAAGTTATATGGAACTCAACTTGATTTTACTGTCAGTTTTAATATAATTTAATAATAATCTTTGTTCAGAGACAAAGGTAATACAGTTATCATCCTCTATCCCTGTTTTATGAAGGCTGTTTCAATTTCACATGCTTCAGTAATGTTTTTGCGTAAAATTATTTTAATGCGTTAAGAATTTTGAATTAATCGCATGCGTTAACGTTGACAGCCCTAATATATATATGCAGCGATAATATTTTGTGATAACTTAAACATGTTTTCACATAAGATACCTTGTTTTGACCAATATGCATGGCACGAATCCTTCATACAGATTGCATATAGGCTGACTATCTGCCTTGTTAAAGCAAATAATGACTATTTTTGGAGCGAGACACCTTGATTGACATTGTCGGTGAACTTTTAAGCTGAAAATACGCTATAAAAAGTGTCTCACCGTGCGGAGAGACTCCCCAAGCCCAGTTTTTTGGCGACTCCCTGCAGCATCTTCACAGGGTTTTGTCCAGGTTGACCAATATTTCCGTTCTTGGCTTTTTTCCCAGACTTAGTGTTTTTACCCTTGGGTTTTTCTGCTTCCTCACAAGTCTTCGCAGGCAGAGAGCGGTACACCTCCAGAGCAGAGCGGTTCTCCAGACCCAAAGCCTGGAGACTGTGGATGAGCTGCTGCTGTGGTTCGGGATCAGAGCGGGGCATGATGGGCCGGCTCCCATGCACCAGCATCTCACAGGAGTCGGTGTAGATGAAGTGAAGCGCGTGCTCCAGCATCTCAGGAGGAACCTTCTCCAGAACCAGCAAGTCACAGCCCACTGCATCTTCCCCTTTCTTCACCTCTCCATCTCCCTCTTTGCAGCCCTCGGGGAGGAGAAATTTCCGGAAGAAGTCCGAGCGCATGGACAGGATGTATTTGTGCGCTGCAAAGGTGCGATCGCCAGCCTGCAGGGTCACGTCATGGATGCTGTCGGTCTCATCGGCTTCGGACAGGAGGCGCTGGAAGTGCTGGGAGAATGTGGACCCAGAGGTGGTGGGAACTTCATACAAGCTGAAGAAAGGAGAAGAAAAGTGAATGTAGGGCTGCATGATTAAACTAAATAAAAGCAATATCATAATATGCCCAAGTGCGGTTATTGAATCACAAAGGGTGTGATTTAATTCAATAAATATAAGCACTGTGTGTTTAAGAGTGAAGTGCGGCACTGTGTTCATTTACACGTGAGCAGATCGTGATCCGCCGCCATCTCCATCTGCAGGTTTTCCATCAAAATGATGGTTTAATGTTTGAAAATGAAGAAATTAAGATAAATATTAGCATTGCAAACATACATTTGTAATGTAAAATAAATTATTATTTATTTTTTCTTTATTTCACCGTGAAATCATAATAGTAATCTTTTTTATTTTATTCAGTAATTTGTATATTTAATAATTATAATTATTATTAAATCGCATTTTAAAATTGCAATAATTTTTATTAGAAAAATCGTAATTAAATGTTTTTTCCCCCTATTCGCGCAGCCCTAGGTGAATGTATAACAAGACATGATTAAGATTGCGATCGGTTCAGAACAAAATACAGGATCTGAATGATTTTCATAAAATTAGGTTACATTAATGGTTCTTGAGAGTTTGCATTCTTACTTTTTTTTTGTACAGCGTTTACAGCACCACTTTACAAGCAACTCTACTTATTTTCTCTTATTTGAGTTATTGCAAAGGGGTTTGCTGAAAAACTACTCTACTACTTTACAAAGTACTTTGGTATTATGTTTCAATTTTAACCCAAAATGAGGCTATGTTAGCAATATGGAGAGCTAAACATTCACATGTAATTTCTGTTTTCAAAATCCACAAGTGAGATTCATAGAAGTATTTAACTTATGACATTCCAGGAAATCTATGAGGCGCCACGTAGGATTTAAATCAAACTTCGCTTATCAATACATGCATAACACACGTGCATATACACCTATAAATTACTCGCATATACATGTATACTATTGGATGTTCAAAATACATATATGAAATACCGGTACACGTGCACACTAATATGAAATTAATACCAATACATATTATGTTAGTAATGAATGCATATAAACTTGTGAATAACTTGCATATAGATATAAACTTGACGCACGCATACACCTATAAATACTCGCATATACATATAAACTTCCATGCACAATGCACATACACCTATAAACACTCGCACATTCATATACACTCGCTGCGCACGCAGACACACTTATACACATTAGCATATACATATAAACCTCCATGCAGACACACCTATAAACACTCGCACATACATATACACTCGCTGCACGCAGACACACTTATACACTCGCATATAGGCCTACATATAAACCTCCATGCAGACACACCTATAAACACTCGCACATACATATAAACCCGATGCGCGCATAAACATCCATAAAACACTCGCGCATACATACAAAATAAAACGTGGATGCATGCTTTAGTTGTGTATATATGTATATGCGAGTGATTTCATATGTGGATGTGCGTGAACTTTTCAGTGTAAAAGGAAGTAATTTCAGTGTAAAAGGAAGAAATTTCAGTGTAAAAGGAAGTAATTTCAGTGTAAAAGGAAGAAATTTCAGTGTAAAAGGAAGTCATTTCAGTGTCATTTCAGTGTAAAAGGAAGTAATTTCAGTGTAAAAGGAAGTAATTTCAGTGTAAAAGGAAGAAATTTCAGTGTAAAAGGAAGTCATTTCAGTGTCATTTCAGTGTAAAAGGAAGTCATTTTAGTGTCATTTCAGTGTAAAAGGAAGTCATTTATTCTTCTTCTTCTTTTGGAGTTTTATGGCGGTTGGCAAACCAGCTAAAAGGTGCATTTACCGCCACTAACTGGACAGGAGTGTGAAGCGTCAACACAGGGGGCGGAGAGATATCACGCAACACCTGAAATAAAGCTTGCCACAAAGAACCTGTCTTTTACTGTCTATGCAAAGAACCGGCGAAAGTAATGATTATGCATGAAACATTTGAATGGTTGATAAAGTTTATAAATTGATCAAGTTGACGATGCAGACTCGCCATCTTCGCTGTAGTGGCGGTGGCGCCTCATAGAAATCCCTTAGATAGCAATCATGTGTTTATTGTCTTCATGTTTCATCAGTCAAAATGTCTATATCTGCATGTTATTCATGGTACATAGCAATATCTGATTTCCATGTTATATCTGTGTTAGTCTGTGTTCTTCAAGCCATCTCGGGAATATTCATAAGAATGATGTATATCTATAATACAACGTTAATTGACAGCCTGTATCACAGTATAAAATTTTATAAAATAATATATTTTCGGTCTCACTCGGTGTTAAGAAGCAACATGGGACCACAGAAGTTATTTCAAACATGACTGACAAAAAAAAACTGCTCCTTTTTTCTTTCTGCCGAAGAATGTGCCGGGAGCCCACTGTTGCTATAGTAACTAACTACACTTTCACGCGCATCTAATTGACAGATAAATCATGCAATCTAATTTCACAGTTGTTGCTAATGTTGAGGTTATTTCAGCTCCAGTCCATACAAAGTTTGCTTTGCACATTTAATTTAACTGAATTGTTAAAGAGGTCAAGCTGTACCATTAAACTGAACTGTGTGCAAACTGTGCATGCATTTTAGACACTTACATTGTTCTTGCTTTGTCCATGCAATACCTGCATCCTTGTATGAGCCGAGGTTTCTATTTACTTCAGCTGCTCAGAGCTCTGATGATATCAATAATGAGCATAGCTCACTAAAATATTGAAATGTTAGCGATCCAGATTCAAAACGCGAGCACCAGTGATTGAATGTCAAAGTGCAGTTTGAACGTTTTGGCACCCGAGTCAGACCCGTCTGTTATTGGCTGAAGTGCAGGGCTCCACCGCTGTAGTTTGAAAAGTGCCCGTCAAATAATAAAATCGCACAGTTGCTCCGTCGGCACCTTTGTCAAAGTACTTTTAGGCCGTGAGACAGAGGGTTGATTGGTACCATTTTGAGGGATTAAACCGCATGGTGATTTTTGTGTAGGTATATGACCCTGTATTTGAAAAATGTGTAAAAGCATTAGATTCAAGGTAGTTTTTGGTTACGGAGGACTTATGATTTTCAAACATATGTCAAGAAAAAGGATAAATGAATTTATCTTTAAATAAATTTTAAATTTTATAAAAATGTAATAAATTTTTTACAAATTTAATAATAAAAAAATTATAATTTTTTTTAAATAAATTTTTAAAATTATAAAAGGATAAATTTTTCTCTCTTGTAGTCACTGAACACCTTACCTTGAGGTAGGATGATATAAGTGTTGATTTCTAATGAAAGCTACCATGGATCGGATGCTATCACACATTTTCCAACACTAGAGATGTGTACCTTCATGAAAATCAAAAATAAATTTAATCTCTCAAAATGGTACCGGTAGCCCAAATTTGGGGTCCCGTCTCATGGCCTATTTGTACTTTTGGTGAAAAATAAATGTAGCGAAGCTGAATACTTTATTTGTATTCAACTCAAGTAAAAGTAAAACTACCACAATTTAATTATACTCAAGAAAAAAAAGAAAAAGAAAAATGTACTTAAGTACGGTAATGAAAGTATGTGTAATTAGTTACTTTCCACCTCTGGCATTTTTTTAAAATATGTAGAACACTTGTATTATCTGATTGCTATCAGGATGTGTTTCAATTTGTTTCAACCAGAATAACAAAAAGTGTTTATGATTTCTTTTTATTCAACTAACCATAGAATTACCACATAGTTAAGATAACATAATAAACAGGTTTATCAACTTTTAAAAGGGAGGAGAGAATGCTTCTCATATCTTTTGTTGCTGAAATAAGGCAGTGAAAGTGTGTGTCCAATAAAACCATACAGTGTTTAGGCACAGATGTATCGGCCTGTTGGTAACATGGCTGAAACTGGTGTAATGTTTTATACTTCTGTTGTTGTTTGTCTTGAAAAACTGTAAATTTGGTACGATAAACAACTTTGATGATCAGAAGGAACTGGAACCATTTAGTGACATCAAAAAACTCAAAAATTCCAAACATGTCTTTAGTCATACACATCTGTGACCGTAGTCATAATTATCAGCACCTGGTTTTGGGATCGGCTTGCAATACTCCGAAGTTTCGTCCGTTCGAATCCATGGTGATGCTGACGGCTCTGTGGACGTAATGAAGCTTCTCCAGACGGATTCGTTCATAAACAACTCCTCCGTCTGAGTGGCCGGACACCTCCATGGTATCTGACACAACAGAGCATATCTAGTTAAATTCGATTTTATTTATAACGCATTTAGTTAAACTGATGGTCCCAGTACCTTTTTTGTCTACGGCTTTCTTGTACTGTCCCAGCCACTGTCCACTGAAGCCCTCTCCATCCTGAGTAACAAACATCATGCTGTTCTTACTCAGGGCGATGTCTGACATGAAGACCTGTCGTCCATAAGCCCAGCGACACTGCCTCACTGACGTGCCCGTGGAGCGCCAGCAAAACACCTGCAAAAGCATCAGAAAATAAACTGTGAAAATTAATAGAATGAATACAATACCAGCTAACTGGTGGTTAAAGTGATTGATACAGTGGTTGAAAGGTGCCTTACTGGCTCAAGTCAAATGAGTTCAAGAAAATATCTAGGGCCTTATGAAATCGGGTTTACTTTTTCTCAAAATCCTTTTTTTCCATTTTCATTTTTCTGGATTCTCCCTTTTTTTCACATTTCACATTTTATAGGTTAAATAAAACTTTAGTAATCAAAAAGCATATATAATTAACTGAAATCATAAAACATACAGGTTTAACAACAATTTCGTAAAAGTTTAACCATTACATTTTTTGTCCCCGTTTTAATGGTTTAATAAAATTTTAATAAATCAAAAAGGTTTTCCGGGACACTTATTCACAAGACGAATGAGCTAGTCCACAGGAAACTGTGTGTAACGTAAACTGTAACTGACTGTCATAAAACTCTGAACGCCACTGCCATTATATTCACATAATGCTTACCTTTGTAGGGTCTGGACCCATCAGAAACCCACTAATTATTCATTATATCCAAAGGTTTATGAAACTACAAAACTAACATCCCAAATGAAACAAACACCAGGGCTGAAACAGTGTCATATTACAGGGCTGATAAGGAGGTTTTTACGACCACATTCCTTTGACCACATGCACAAGAGAGAGACAATGGGAAGACAGAAACCCTCTTTAAAACAGACTTTTCTGCATTAATCATAGACTAACTGATCTATAAATGAACATGCTTCATAGCATTGTGTAAACGATTTACTGTCTTGTGTACTATTATGTATATATTATGGTATGTACCAGGGTATACAACCAACTAACGGTCAATGTAACCTCACATGTATCATGCCTCCTACCTAATTAATCCTCATTTAATGCAAGAGGTCCTCGCTGCAGCCTGTAGCACGATGACGTGGCTGGATGGTCCAATACGTATTGGATGGAGGTGTGTTTTGGTGACATAATAGACGCATGCGCACTAGTCAAGTCAACTTCATTTATAGCGCTTTTAACAATGTAGATTGTTTCAAAGCAGAGATAAACATATAATTTAAGGTAAATGAGATTGTTTTGGCTTTATAGCGGTTCTTAAATAATGTTTAAGAACTTGTGATAAACGCTGATGGCGTTCATATGCGCATTAAGAATTAATTAGAGTAGGTGTAGAGAGAGAGAGTTGGTGAACGATCGCACGTGCTTTGATCTTCCAAGAAGAATAAAGTAAGTTAAATATAAATGGTCACTTGAGTATGGAAGCTCTTTTCCGCCACAGAATAAAACATTTAAAAATATATAATTGCGACTTTTTCCTCACAATTGCGAGTTTATTTAACGCAGTTCTGACTATATCTCACAATTCTGATAAATAAAGTCAGTTTGCAAGATGTAAAGTCTCAATTGCATGTTATAAAGTCAGAATTGCGTGAAATAAAGTCAGAATTGCGTGCTATAAAGTCAGAATTCTGAATTTATAATAGGCCTACATAATTGGGAGTTTACGTCTCCCAATTCTGACATTTTTTCTCATAATTGTGACATAAACTCGCAATTGCGAATTATAAAGTCAAATTCTAAGGGAAAAATATTTTTTTAACCTGAGAATAGTTTAATATCTCACAATTCTGACTGTAGGCTATAACACGCAATTGCGACTTATGCAATTCTGACTTTATATCTCCCAATTGGTATTATAAAGTCGAAATTCTGACTTTTTTCTCGCAATTCTGAATTTATAACACATAATTAAGATTTTATATCTATCAATTCTGACATATTTTCTTAGAATTGTGAGATATAAACTCGCAATTGCGAGTTATAAAGTCAAATTTTACCTCAGAATAGTTCTCTCACAATTCTGACTTTATAACACACAATTGCGACTTTATATCATGCAATTCTGACTTTAGCCTATATCTCCAATTTGCGTAGGCTATTATAAAGCCAGAATTTCAAGTAGCCTCGCAATTGCGAGTTTATATCTCATAATTCTGACTTAACACGCAATTGCGACTTTATATCACGCAATTCTGACTTTATAACCTGCAATTGCGACTTCAATTCTGAGATAAAAAGTCAGAGTAGTGAGATAAAAAGTTACCTTTTTTATTTCTCACTCTGTGGCGAAAACAAGCTTCTATAGCCTACCATATGTATTGCAGACACTGAACAGCAAATTAAGAGGAACCATAGGCTACAGATCACTGTGGAAAAATGAGTAGGCTATAGCCATTAAAGAAGGAACTCTTACCAGGCAAAATATCAAGCACTTTTTTTTCACATCTGACAAGATTTATTTTCTTGATGCTGTTATTATTTTTGCATTTTCCCTTGAATGTGTACTGGTATCTTAAAATGTTTACAGACTTTATTGTATTGTACCTTTAAAATTACAAAGACAATTAGGCTACTTGATTCATTTTTGCTTCCACTCAACAACAAATGTGACCTGAATAAAATAAAATGGCTTTAAAAAACAAACAAAAAAAACTTGCGGTGCTGAGGACATGCTATTAATCTATCAAATTTAGGTTTAAAATCATGTGATTTAAAATGTTGTAAAATTAACTATTTTGCATAGCCTATGTGTGAAACTCGGATAAGCATCCCATTTATGTAAATAATTACTTATTTATCAATAATTACTATTTAGCAGTACTATACTACACAGGTTAGAACATCATATCAGTACAATATTGAGCATACATGTCACTTAAAACCAGCGCATGCGAATTATAATCCAGAGATCGACACTGCGCATGCGTATATGACGTCAGCAAAACACACCTCCATCCAATACGTATTGGACCATCCAGCCACGTCATCGTGCTACAGGCTGCAGCGAGGGGTGTCTCATTTAATGACACACATTTTGATGTACATCGCCTACTTCTAGAATGCAGTGTGGATGTGTCTATCTGAGCATTAATGAAGGTATAATCACGCTTGGGACAAAGACTCGTAAATTAACTGAAAGCAACCTTCCCACTCGGACATTTCACCGTGCTTATTGGTCCAGTCAACCCTTAGGAGTGGATCGTTCTCAGGCCTTTATTAGAGACAGTCCATATGTGACCTCCCTTTCTTAGTTTTCTCATTCGGCCGCAACACACTGCTACTGATACTGGGGAACCCTCTCCCCCTTCACGGGGGCCCAGGGCCCAGCAGGAGAGAGAAGACTCTCTCACAAAGAACCAAGGACAATCTCAGGAGTTTGTAACAAGGACTCTAACCCACCATGCAAGTTCATCATATCTTCTTCATCCAACAAAGAAGAAAATGATTGAGACTTCAACATCTGACACTCGCAGAATCATCAACAACTTCAGTTTTCAACAACTTTGATAATAGTGTACGCTACTCAGGCATGCAAGTATACTTTTGATTTGATGCTTTGAAAATGAAATGCTGATGTTCTTCTCATATAGTTACATGGAACTTCTCAATAGTTCCGTTTTCGGTTTCGTTCTATCACTCACCTATTTATGTATTCATGTGTGTATGTTGTTTAGTTTATTTATATTCATATAACTATCTATATTTAGTTAATAAAACTTGTACATAATATGTATTTGGTTCTGTCTTGTTTGCAATACCAAGTCACTTTTACGATCACGGTTTTTGCTACTTGCTCAAAGTGCTGTACATGCAAAGAAATAATTATTCTTCTGGGGCCATGGAAGATACCCTTTTCTTAGAAAAAATTTATAATCAAAAGAGTTCGTTGGACGAACTGATTAAATGATTGTAATATTAATTCAGCCACATCAAGTTAATCCAATTAACTGACCCAAATATTCATAATTAATAATAAGTTATTATTGATTATTAATATTTCCAAAAAGCTGAGTTCCTTACACCTTTTATACTACTGTTGAATCAGATCGAATGCATTAATATTATGAACAGCAGCTATGCTAATTATTTCCCATCTGCTTTTCTGCTGTTATCTCGGGACGCTAGTCCCGAGGTAAAAAGCGTTCGTCAGTTCCAGTTTGTATCCAGCCTCTCACGGAGACTTCAGATGCCCCAACACCTGCGATGAGATGACTAAACGCCTGTGAAGAGACGACTCGACGCCTGTGAAGAGACGACTCAACGCCGGCAATATGTTATGCCCTAAATTAATAGATGATTAACTAACTGTATTTTTCTATGTACATTTCTGAAATGCACTTTCTGTAAAGCTGCTTTGAAACAATATGTAGTGTGAAAAGCGCTATACAAATAACTTTGAATTGAATTGATTGAATATGATAGGCTGAGGCGCCTCACAAGTTAGCCATTACACTGTTTCCAATGGTAAGAGCCACAGACCCTCTCATCTCCCAATAATAAGACAATCTCTGCTTACAAACTGTGCAGAACGGGCAGGCACAAGCAAGGACTGGAATTGGGAACCCCTGGCCTGGACCACTCCATATCGCAATTTGATTAAGTGTAAAGTCCTACTTTTTATTTATTCATCCAAAATTTGCCAAATTCCATGACATTCCAGTATTTTTTTTTTTATGACTGGAGTATGCGATTCAGTCCATGTTTTCAGCATCACGGAAATCAAAGGGCTCTACATAATCTTAAGTCAGACTACTCAGAAAAGTAGTAATGCATCTCTCCTCAAAGAAACAAGCCACATGATTAGAGGGATACACCATTAAATAAACTGATGGAGTGACAAGCTGTGAAGATATATAAGCATAAAACTCTGGCATATAACCAGACAATTAGGCATACAGTGCTTAGCATAAGTGAACACACCCATGACTAAAAAGATGAATAAAAAAAGCATGGTTTTATTTCAGTTAGCCTAATTAGCTGTATTGATTTGCATTGAGAGATGATCTTATGGAAAGTACCCCATGCCAGTCTCTAGGTATGGTGAAGGGTGTGTGATGATCTGGGGCTATTTTAATACCAAAGGCCAAGGGAACTTTATCAGGATGCATAGTATCCTGGATCCATGAAATAACTGGCCTTTAAAAATCTAAATCTGCCTGCCTCTATGGGAATTTAACATAGGGGTGTCCTGACTTATGCACCCTGTATTTTAAGGAAGAACATTCATTTATTTACAATAGATTATTCATTCACAAAGAATATTGGTGTCCTTAAAGATTGGATTTTTCCAATTTTTTTAAATTAAGGCCTTAAGATCAATTTCCAAAAGATGATTTTTTATTCATCTTTTTAGTCAACTTTAGCATGGGTGTGTTCACTAATGCTAAGCACTGTACATGCTAGGCAAACCAACTGGTGGCATAAGATTAAGATTTTATTATAGATTTGCTTTTAAATAAAAATATATAGATAAGAAAAGTGGTGTAAAATGAATTAAACATTACTAAAAACTTGGATCCCATTCCACTAACTGGCCTGGTGCAGCTGCCTGATAGTCTTTTATCAGGCACGTATTGGCCCACAAGACTGAACATCTTGGTTAAGCAGACATTATATGGGGGGGGGACATTTGGACACTTAATAAGTAGCTGGAATGGTTTAGTGGTTCAACAACCATTCTAGTAGCCAAGTATTGCTCACAGCATTTTACAAAGAACTTGACAGAGAGACAAACTACTAACGTATGTCATCTGATGCTAGTACCTTGGAACAAAGTGCTGATTTTGATACTATAGATCAAAAAATTATTTTACACGGGCTAGGGAATCGTGTTGGCAAATATGGACAGTCACTAGCTTGGTTTAGGTCTAACCTGTCCGACTGTTGCCACCGATTTGTGTAAATGAAAATCTGCCTGACCTATTGCAAAATATGGTGTGCCACAAGGCTTGGTCTTATGACCTTTGTTGTTCTTGCACTTTAGGTGATAATTTTAGGAAACAGAGCATTAGCTGTCACTGTTAAGTAGACCACGAACATCTCTATTCTTCTTCCAGATAAGATACAATTTTTCCAAAGATTGCATGTCAAAAAATTTCCATTTGCCAAATTCTAGTTAACAGAAGTATTTTGTAAAAAAAAAAAAAATCTAGAAACAAGCTTTTACAGCTACAGAAGAAATCTAGAAATGTTGCTTTTAGTAGCTGTATTGAGAGTGAGACTTTTTCAGACTGACGGTGTGTTTACATCAGCATTGTTGTTGTTCCCCCCGAGAATACAAACAGCATCTTCATCAGAGTCTTGAATGATAGATTCTCTCCTTCAGTAAAACAACAAATATCACAACAGGCACTGTGACAACTCCCTCGTGAGCATTTTTAGGCAGGAAGTTTTGTATGATGATAACACATCAGCTGATTATCAGAACAGATTTTTTTTAGGCTTTAACCCAATACCCAAAGTTTTAACCCAATTTTAACCCAACCTAATTATTGGGTACCATTTTCATCCTGTTAGAGTCTCTGATGTGCATATTGAAGTTCAGTTGAGTGTCGTACATCACTCACCCTTCCAGTTTCATCGAGAGCCAGAATCACCAGCTTCTCTCCTCCACCATCATGCAGAAGCTGAGAATCAATTCGATGATCTAAACTACCACCGCTCACTAGCACTTTTTTCAGGTTCATCTGTCTGGAGAACAACACAAGGACAGTGTTGGACTTCCATCCAACTAAACTTTGAATTGGAATATTCCATAAAACATTTCCAAACAAAGCACCATTTCCATCTGCATCATTTTTATGTAGTACCTCATAATTTGCATAAAAATATGTGGATGGAAACCTAGCTAGTGTTAAGTGCCTGTTGCAAACTATATATTGATATACAATTCAATTAAAATATTGAAATACATTTCAAGCTCTAAAAACTGTACAAAATCTGGATCGCTAAGACAACATAATTGTCAAACTCTGGTCTCTAAACTCCACTTACTTGGAGGCCAGTTTCTTGCACTGGTAATCTGCCAGCAGGTACACATCTCCCTTTTCGGTCACACACACAGTGGCCCCATTGCTCGCTGCCGCCATAGTGATGGTCAAATCCTTGTGGTGCAGAGCGGACACCTGTCGAGGAACAGTCACGCACTTCTCTCCGTTGGGCTCCAGCAGGTAACCTGAATGTATCACAATGGTAGGACCACAACTTTTCATATGGGAAGAGGCAAATGAAGCAGATGCTCTGGTGAAATTGCACGCAGAGGATTTACTATACACCTGAGAGATTTTAGATCAGTTAAACAATCTGGGATGCATTTCCCAAAAGCATCGTAAGCAGATTGCCACCAATGGCCTCTACGATCAACTTAGCTCACAGTGCTTTTGAGAAGGGCAGCCCTGATTGTTTTCTGTGACAAATATATCTGGGTACTTGAGCCTCTTACCAAGTTGGCCACCATTTAATCCTACGGTATAAACCGCATCTCGGGTCCAAAGAACAGTGTGGAACCTGCCGGCTGCAACACCAATCACGGACCTCCCTTTCAGGGACTTAGATGTGACCTGTGGTCAATAGAAAATAACATACAAACATTTAATTTATGGAATTAGCTAGAGTTTATTAAATTTGTGAAACGGTGCTTAATGCATAAGACAAGGGTTCGGATTCACAAAAATCTTCTTAAAGGTACACTATGTAACTTTTTTTGTTTAAAATGTACAATTTATATAATGAGTGAGTGCACCATGAATAATAATTATTTAAAAAGTTTTTTTTATTTTATAAAAAAGTTATTTAAAAAGAATTAAAAAGTTAATTCGTCTTAAGTTTTGTCTTAAGAACAGTGTTAGGAATAAACGATAAGAACGATCTTACGTTTTTTTGGGAATACAAAATAATCTTGTGTTTTTCTCTTAAGTAAGAAAATGAGAAGAAAATGTCGGTTAAGAAGAATTTTATTCTTAAAGGATAATTCCGGTATTTAGCACTTTGAGTCTATTTTCTAGTTTGTTTTGGATGAACTAGAGTGGTGGACTTATGGCGCTTTTCCACTGCATGGTACGGCTCGGTTCAGCTCGGTACGGTTCGACTCGGCGCGGAACGGTTCGGCTCGCTTCGCTTTTCCACTGCTCGACTCGGTACGGCACGGCTCGGTTCGCTTTAGCTCGGTTGCTTTTCCACTGCAGTAGTACCGCTTCAGTGGGTGGGACTGATCGTTATAGTTGCGCAACTCCTCGGCAACCAACGAGAGGAACGTCTGCACCTCGTCCACTGACCACGATTCAGCCATTTCTTTTTCTGAAGTTTTCATCTTCTTTTTTCAAGCAAATACTTTAAAAACAGGTGCTACAGCGTTGGCTGTTGTCTACTGCTGGCTATTTAAATCTAGCGGGTTAGTGTCTCATGTCGCAAATACAATGACGCTGGTAGTGACGATTCTGTCTGACCAATCAGTGATCTGCAGTGTTTTGACGTCACATTTTAGTACCGGTACGGTACGCTTGGAACCTCAACAGACCAGGTACCATTTAAAGCGAGCCGAAGCGAGCCGTACCGTACCATGCAGTGGAAATGCGCCATAAGTGAGCCGTACCGAACCGAGCCGTACTGTACCATGCAGTGGAAATGCGCCATAAGTGAGCCGTACCGAACCGAGCCGTACTGTACCATGCAGTGGAAAAGCGCCAAAGCGTGCCGTACCGAACCGTACCGTACTATGCAGTGGAAAAGCGCCAAAGCGTGCCGTACCGAACCGTACCGCACTATGCAGTGGAAAAGCGCCATTAGAAATGTTGACGATGGGTTCTGTCTCGACTTTTTGACTCTTTTAGACTCGCCTCTGAGCGCTTCAGAGTGGCTGTCTATGGGCATGCACAAACATGTCCTTAAAACAACCCTTAACGTTCGTTTTCAAAACTGTGCAACTCACCGAGTGGTTAGTGGTGTTGTAGTTGATGTTCCAAAACAAGTAGCGTAGCGAAATACAGTTTCTGTCGTGTTTTATTTGCAATTTTTTTAAATCGCATTGATGTCTGCTGGAGGACTCAGTGCTCGTTGATATTACTGCGCTACCGAAAACGGAAAAGGGTCTGTTTACATTTGGTTGTAGTCTTTTCGCTCGGTTCTCCGTCTCTCAGAAGGCTAGCGTGAGCTGAGCAACTGCGGCAAAGTGGTTGTCGCCATCAAGTGGTCGGGAGTGTGCTAACGCTTCAGACTCAAATATCGAGCGGAAGTTTATACGCGGTTGTGAGGTATCTGAAAAAATAGTTCCACTATAGCAAATAACACGGATTGAAAGCATACATTGCGTCGATATATTTGTTTTTAAATCATAAACAAACACCACTAACCACTCGGTGAGTTGCACAGTTTTGAAAATGAACGTTAAGGGTTGTTTTAAGGTCATGTTTGTGCATGCCCATAGACAGCCACTCTGAAGCGCTCAGAGGCGAGTCTAAAATAGTCAAAAAGTCGAGACAGAACCCATCGTCAACATTTCTAAGTCCACCACTCTAGTTCATCCAAAACAAACTAGAAAATAGACTCAAAGTGTTAAATACCGGAATTATCCTTTAAGTATGTTTAGCAAATCTGGCCTCAGGCTGACCGACCTGTTTGGGAACTTGGCTGGAAGCAGGAGGAGGTGCCAGACCCAGCTGATGATGGGTGTTGAGCCCAAAAGTGTAGACGTACCCCTCCTCTGTCAGAACGACAGTGTGATCTCGGGCCGCTGCAATCTGCGAGCAGTGATGGGACAAAAGACCCTCCACCATTCGGGGAACCTTTGATGTGAACATGGACACCAAGTCTTAGACAGCAGATGTGCAGAATATATGCGTTACCCCACACCAAAACAGCTTACCAGATATGTCTGTTCATCACCATGTCCAAGTCGTCCGCCCTGTCCGTGTCCACATGTGTACACCTGACCCTTCTGGGACAGGAAGACCGAGTGGAACTTACACAACACCACCTCAAAAGACACAGAAACACAACAATGTTGCCATCATCATCATCATTCAAGATCATGTTTGCACAGGCAGGCATGGTCCTATTACTGATATAACTCATAAGCCACATTTATGTAGCACAAGCATGTTATTTTCAGCAAAAGATAAAAGTTAGTGTAGAAAAATTACGAAATTTAATTTGTTAACAAAAATGTATTCATTTCTTCAATGAGCTCATTGTTTCTACCTTAAATGAATACATTGTTTAAATACATTATTAATTATTATTTCTGAAATACATAACTTGGTTACCTCTGATAACAGATCACTCTAAATTGTAAAGTAGACATGCATTTTCTGTAAAGCTGCTTTGAAATAATATGTATTGTGAAAAGCGCTATACAAATAAATGTGAATTGAATTAACAAACAACTTGACAATTAGCATTGTTGGCCTAGTAAGTACAGACATTTGGGTTTTGGCCAATAACTTTCACTTCAATCATTTTCATTTTACTACCTTGGTCGATTTTTTGTAATGCTCAGGGGGGCTGCATTAAAAATACAGTAATAATCATAATTTCACTATATAACTATTTTTAGTTTAAAATAACTACTTTCTATTGTAATATATTTAAAATATATAATTTATTCCAGTGATCAAAGCTGAATTTGCAGCATGATCCTTCAGAAATCATTCTAATATGATTGTCAGTGTTGAAAACAGTAGCACTACTTCATATGTTCACCGTGATATACTTTTTATTTCAGGATTCTTTGATGAATAGAAAGTTCAAAAGAACATTGTTTGAAATAGAAATCTTGTGTAACATTTTAATGTTTTTACAGTCCCTTTTGATCAATTTAATGCATCACTACTTAATAAAAGTATTCATTTCTAGAGGGAAAAAAGTACTGACCCCAAACTTCTGAATGTTACGTATATGTGGAATGACAAAGAAATAAACCCATAAAATGTCCTTTTTAATGATTTCATCTTTCATCTCATAATTCTATTTTAACAAGAAATTAGTATTGTTGTCATTAAACATTTGCTCAAGATCCTTAGACAAGATGCTATGGTGATAAGGTAGTCAGTCAGAAATCATTTTACTTGGGAGGTAAATTCATTCACACAAACACACTTTCTGCAAAGTCACTGACTAATTTGGTAGCTTCAGTTTTAGACAACCGTTGAGACAAGCTGGTTAAATGTCACTGCAAAAATATCAAAGCAAGTGTAACTGCAAAAAAAAAGGCCTTTTTTTTCTCTCAGAACCGTTTCTGAGCTATTTATGCAATTACAATTAGACATCTTTTTAGCCAAGTGTACCAAACACTTTTGATGCCACTGTAAATACGATACAAATTCATAGTGGTGAGATTATTGGTCGATTAAGAACTGCGATAGGAAAACTATGAACCTGCTGTGTTCTGCTCATCACAAGGGCTTGACTTTTAGCCATGACAGCTCTGCCCTTTCTCTACAGAGTGTGCCAGCTCTGGATTGGCTTGGAGTCGACTACAGCGGGGAAGGGGTTTCGAGGGTCAACATCATCATTAATTTAACACACTCCTCAAGGCCAAAACTGAAGCAAGAGATGTTCTGTAAAGTGTCCAAACTCTGCGCCTAAAGAACTGACTGGCTCCCTCGCTGCCGTACGCACGCATTCACAGCGCTTATTTAATCTGCTGCTGTTATCCCGGACTGAATATTTTAATATTTAACTGAAAGCATCTGCAGAACAGCGTGGCAGGTCACAATGTGCTTAGGGGGGCATTGGAGAGCTGATGAAAGGGTCGGGAAACAAGATCCGCCATCACAATGAGCACTGTAAAATTAAAGGACTGCCCTGCACTTCAGAAATTAATCACACACAACCGACTAAACAATGAAAAATGAAATTGAAGTGTCTTTAGAAGCATCTCTGGAAGTTTCCCCATCATCCTAAATGGTTGACCGATTTGGCTTACTAAATTAATTTTGATCGCACCCTTAACCTTCTTGTTCTTCTCCTTTCAAAAATGCCAAAATACCAAATTGAAAGGCTGACAATGGGATCATGCAACACTACTGGATCACATTTCCCATCCACATATGAGCACATGTTGGTTATCCATCCAAAATGCAAATGAGTCCCCGCTATGACCACGGAAAAAAGGGAAGCTTATACACCGTGGTTCAAAGCATGATGTTGGCATGAGTTGAGCTGTCAGGGTCAAGTACGCCAAAGCGGTGACAATCACCTAAGTGCTCATGCACATCTGCTAAATGCCCGAGCTCCAACACAAAGAGCTTCTCTCCATCGGCAGGAACATAGTGTTCATCCTCGAGGGCATTTTCAAGAACAATTTACAGAGAAGCAAAGAGGTCTAAGTCTCCTCAGATGGTTTGCAAGGACTCTTGGAGATCTTTGTTTTGAAGGAGTTCCCTGTTGAGAAGTTCCCCGTTATCAAGGCAACACTAGCAGGTCCTCTGTTGTCACACATAACCCTGGGGAGTTTGAGACCCAGTTTGCATAAATAAACCCTGAGGAATAGCATTGCAGATGAGGATTTCATAGCATTATGTGCCTCATCAGCAAAAATGTATCTAAATAGAAGTAATAAGATAAGAAGAGAAGTTTGAGAGTGACCACATCGTAAATTTTATCACTAAAGTCACCAAGACATCAAAATCTTGGTTTTTTTTTATTGCCGTATTTATAATTAATTATATATCAGTGCACATTATATATATATTTTTTTTTTTAATTCACGCTCCTCAAATCTTTGATCAAAATAACTTCTCCCTCTTGCAGCGACATCTCTTCTCTTCTCTGATGATGTGTTCACTGGCGTGAGGGCGGGGCAACCTGTCACTCACATGAGATCCACCAATAGCAAACCACAACCATCCAATCAATTCCCAATGGACAAAAAGAAGTTTCAAGCCTACACAGAAGCGGTTCACTCGTATATTTGTTGCAGTAGGGAAAAAAAAGTATATCTCAACTTCCGTTTCATGAACACTTTAATGAAAACTTTAAGAAAACCAGCAAAAAAAATTGAAAATAGTAAATGAAAAAAAAAAGTAACACTTTATTTAGATGATTCACTTTAGACATTCTACTAATTATAAGAAACTTTGCAACTACATGTCAACTATTATGTTGATGGTTCTACAGATTATCTTAACAGATTCTCCTGTGGTGTGAGGTGTGTTAAAGGGTTAGTTCACTTTGAAATTAATTTTTGGTATGTTTTAGCTTACCTCAAGGGTGTCTTTGTTGAGGTAAGCTAAAACATTACCTAAACAAAGGTAATGTTTGTTATTACGAACAGTGAGAAAACGAACAGTATTATTTATATTGTTTTTACCTCTTGTAAACACAGCCACGTCCAAGTGATCTGAGGGCGCGGGCGCTTCGGTCTGCGCAAGCGCCCGAAGTGATATATTCCAAAAAAACTAAAAAAAATCAACGTTGTCTGTTGATATCTCGAAATCGTCTTCCATTGCGATTTCCTGTACATCTAAATATGTTTAGATCTTCACAGTGAAAGGTAACACTTCCGAAATCTCTGTGTAAACAATGAGTGACGTACACGCGCGAGAGATCACTTCCGGCGCTTGCGCAGACAGAAGCGACACTTGGACGTGGCTGTGGCTACAAGAGGTAAAAACGATATAAATACTGTTTGTTTTCTCACACAAACTGCTCGTTTCGTGTCTTAGGCCATCAATGTGTACTTACATTTACGAGTCATTAAATCATGTTTAATTTGGACTTCTCTGTGCATGCTCTTTGAGGTGGTGACCATAGACCTGCATTATATGACTGACAGACAAGAACGGTTTGACCTAAAAATATCGAAATTGAAACTTCTGCGGAAACAAAGACACCTACATCTTGGATGCTCTTGAGGTAAGCTAAAACATACCAAAAATTAATTTCAAAGTGAACTATCCCTTTAAGAGTGATTGAATCTGCTCGGAAGAACGCCGGGGCCTCACCGATATCAAATTGTAATCCAACATGTTGATTTTTGACGATCAGAAATCCTGTTGTGCAGGAGAAACCCTGAGGACAAACCCGCACGAACTCTATAGATTGTCACGTGGAATGAAACGATACCCAATCAGAAAGCAAGATGGTGGGAGACAGAACCATAACACTAATCCAAAACCTTTCTGTAAAACCCAGTGCAAACACTATTATCGCCATTTCTTCTTTCCCGTCGTCCACCATGTTTGTTTACTCTAAAGTCACGTTTGATCGTGAGAGATTTTGTGAGATTTCCTGTGTTCACAGTCGACAGTATGATTTTATTTTTCGTTATGTTTACGGACTCTAGTGGACCATCGAAATAAAGTATAACCTAAAAAAACCCTAAAAGACATTTACCTGCTTCACATAGATCCCAGACCTTGAGAACAGGTCCACGATCTCAGGATGGTGTCTGCTCTCCTGGTTTCCATGTCCGAGACTAAAATTTGTGTTGTTTCCCCAAGTGTACACTTCAGTAGGGTCTGAAATGAGATCAGAACAAGGACACAAGTTATCCACTTGTTTTAATGCATTGAATACTGTTTCTAGGTCCAACCCTCCAATCCATTTCAAATCACACATTAAGCTAAGCTTTTAAAACTCATGGTGTACACTACAATCTTTATGCTCACGGCATCCCAGACACCAATATTTTAACGATTCATATAGAGATGAATCACTGCCTGGCCAATTGAGTTTTCGGTATAGAGATAAAGGTTAGGATCATGCTATTTCTGTAGTATTACACACAGTGTATATTAGCACCATTTGTCATTTGCTTTTGGGATCTGATAGAGTGTTGGACCCGGAAATGTGACGTGTGACAAGTTTTGGTTTATTGATTTAAGGTTTAAGCCAAAAGAAAACTCTCTCATTTTAAATCTCTCATGTCATTCCAAACCAGCATTTGAAAATGTTCCCTATATTTCATTTTTTAATAATATTCTTGCTGTTTGTTTCCTGTTTTCTTTCTCACGAGTACTAATGATGTCAAATATCATTCACACTTACACTTTTTATGCTGCAAGTTTGAATGACGCAAAACACCAGTTTTGACATCAATGAAACCAAACACCATTGGTTCTGCCAGGTCTCATAACAGGATGCCATGCGTCAGCTACTGTTGTGCTGTTTTGTTATCATTTTTGGAGCATGACAACCACTGTTTACTGTATGCTTTTACTTAATAAAAATATTAAAACGCTTCATATTTCTCAAAAGTTCTAACTTTGATTTTTACTAAGAATCATGCAAGTTTGGAACAATATGAGGATCAATAAATGAGGACAGAATTTTAATTTCGAGGTTTTATTGTTATAAGTACTACATTAACTCTGGTACAATCATACATATTAACAAGGTCATTAGCCCATTTTAATTACCAGTGTTTCGGAACACAACATGAGCTGGGCGGTCCTTCATGGTGAGGTCTAGGACAGAAAGACCCTCCTTGTCCTGGATGGACAGCCCTCCACCATGCTGGAACACAAAGATACATAGACCAATGAAAGACAACAATGCAAACCAATAAACCAATAGTATTGGGAGGAAAAGATAAAGCAGTTCCGGTGACTCTCAGTCCACTGGGTTTCAAAATCTGTTTCAGTTTTCAACTGTGATTGACTAATATACAGGTGAAACTCGAAAAAATCGTGCAAAAGTTCATTTATTTCAGTAATTCAACTTAAAAGGTGAAACTAATATATTATATAGAGTCTAGATTCATTACATGCAAAGTGAGATATTTCAAGCCTTTATTTGTTATAATTTTGTTGATTATGGCTTACAGCTTATGAAAACCTTTTCACAATATTCTAATTTTCTAGTTTTCATAAGCTGTAAGCCATAATCATCAAAATTAGAACAAATAAAGGCTTGAAATATCTCACTTTGCATGTAATGAGTCTATATAATATATTAGTTTCACCTTTTAAGTTGAATTACTGAAATAAATGAAATTTTGCACGATACTCAAATTTTATAGTTATAGAAGTGTTATATTACTTGTGTGACAGTTCCAGAATTGACAGCTTTGGATGAAAATGTACATTTTTGGTTATCATATTTTAAAAGTTGAAGTGTGCAACTGCCATTTAATTTAGCAATTTTCTGCATTGTTTAAAGGTATAGTTCACCCAAAAATGAATATTTTGTCATCATTAACACCCTCATATTGTTCCAAGTTTCTTTCTTCTGTTCAACACAAAAGAAGATATTTTAAAGAATGTTGGTAATCAAACAGTTGGCGTCACCCATTGACATCCATTGTAGGAATAGAAGAAAAAAAAACATGGAAGTCAATGGGTGACGCCAACTGTTTGATTACCAACATTCTTTAAAATATCTTCTTTTGTGTTGAACAGAAGAAAGAAACTCGTACAGGTTTGGAACAACATGAGGGTGAGCAAATGGTGACAGAATTCTCATTTTTGGGTGAACTATCCCTTTAACTTCATTAAATTCCTTTAAAATGTATATTGACATTATCCTGGCCATTGGTCACCCATTTCTCTAATATTGGCATAGGTTAAAGGGTTAGTTCACCCCAAAATGAAAATGCTGTCAGTAATTACTCTCCCTCATGTTGTTCCAACCCGTAAGACTTTCGTTCATCTTCGGAACACAAATTAAGATATTTTTGATTAAATCTGAGAGCTGGATCACTCCTCCATAGGCTTCTTAAGGGATCGAAACTGGCCGGCCCAAAAGTTATGAAAGACATCGTTAAAATAGTCCGAGTGACTACAGTGGCTCAACCTTAAGTTTATCAAGAGACGAGAATACTTTTTGTGCGCAAAAAACAAACAAAAATAACGACTTTATTCAACTATTTATTTCCTTCTCTGTGGGCCTCAAGATTTCACGTAGTGAAACTGCGCAAAGCTTCTGTGTTGTATGTCACACACATCACACACATGACCAGCGTCGGCCAATAGTGAGCCTACGTGTGTCGTGCAACACAGAAGCTTTGCGCAGTTTCACTACGTGAAATCTCACGGCCTACGGAGAAGGAAATGAATAGTTGAATAAAGTCGTTATTTTTGTTGCCACTGTAGTCACTCTGACTATTTTAACGATGTCTTTCATAACTTTTGGGCCGGTCAGTTTCGATCCCTTAAGAAGCCTATGGAGGAGGGATCCAGCTCTCAGATTTAATCAAAAATATCTTAATTTGTGTTCCGAAGTTGAACGAAAGTCTTACGGGGTTGAAACAACATGAGGGCGAGTAATTACTGACAGAGTTTACATTTTGGGGTGAACTATCCCTTTAATGAAAATCTCATATTAATGAACCTGTTCTCACCTTGATGAGCGTCATCAGGCAGTGAATTTGCCCATAGAAGGCGCTGCGGTGTAATGCGGTCCACCCAGACTCCTTGTCCTTCGCCAGCAGGTCGGCATGTTTACGGTCCAGGAGCCACTGAAGCAGGTCCCGTTTCCCCAGAGAGGCGGCGAGGTGTAGAGCCGTGCGCCCAAACTCATCCCGCAGGGTGGCTGCGTTGTGACAGTGGACAGAGAGAAAGCCCCGCAGACGCCCCTCCGAACCGCTGGTCAAAGCGGCGATCACTTCATCAGCGTGCCTTTCAGAACGGCACTTCGGTGTGCAGTCCGGGCTTCCCAGATTCATTTTAGCAGAGTTACAACACCAGAGTTATCCAAAACACCCACAAGCTTGAGCTCAGATTTCTCACACTTTCTAGCAATAAATTAAGGAAAACAGAATGAAAAAACAGGGAATATGTTTAGCCTTGCTGTGAATTTCAGGGCGCTAGAGTTGTGCGTGTGTTGAGGTTCCACGGCACCCTAGCGGCCCCAGAGAGAAGATCTACCTCATCTCAGTCCACCATCTCAGCAACACATTCGACAAAACCTTTGGAACAATCATTTGCATCAAAGAAAATAAAAAACATTCTGTACAAAACCATACAAATATATTCCAGTTGACTCAAAAATAAGTTAACCTGTAATGTGTGTATCGTATTTTACAAAAGGCAAATCCTTCAGTTCTTTGTACTGTCCAGCCAAAAAGTCCATCAACTTTGAGGGGAAAGACTCCTTCCCCCCAAAACTCTCCACCATTTAAGCCTCCATAATTGCAAAAGGTGCCTGAAAAGAGAGAATGTCTTTTAGATTAATATCCACAACAACAATCCCACCAAAATTCAAATTCAGCTGCACATCAATCATCCTCGGGGTTTGAGCGACCTCAGATTATTTGGAAGTCGATAGGCATGTGATTAAAGACAAGTTGACGTTGACTAATCGCTGATGACGTTTTTAATAAAAACACAAGAGCTTTGCCACAATTTGCAACTAGAGGCTAAAGTTTGATGTTGGCTTGAGAAGCATGAACCTCGAGCTGAGACACGAACTTGGGCATATGACAGAACGATGCCCACAGTGCTATTGCTCTTACATAACAGCTTATTTTTATCAGTTACTTTGTATATGGGTCGTTATATTTCTTACAGATTTCTGCTCGTCCTAAATGAGACACACATAAAGTCGCACCGAAGGGGTGTACATAAGACTGACATGACACCTTCATAACCATGACATGACATATGTTATGAATATGAAGTAGGGTTTATGCATGTTTATGACAACTGTCATTAAGTGTCTTTCGCTCTTTCGCTCAATAATGACATTTTGAATGCAAATATGACATTGTTTAAGATGTCTTTGTTATGACACCTTGACATAAACCAACACATCATAACCTGTCAGTGTCTTTGTCATGACAACTTGACATTAAATTAAGTTAAACTGTCATCTGGTTGGTTTTGACATTGGCTGTCATAAGGCCATTATAACTGTGTCATGAATATTTTTCTTGACCTCAACTACAGTGGTACAAATTGAATTTGTCATTAAACAGTTATAATGGCTTCATGACAGCCAATGTCAAAACCAACCACATGACAGTTTAATGTAATGTTAACCAATAAAGCTAAGTGGTTTCTTAAGTTTGATAGTTAATCTGCTATGTCATGTTTATGACAGGTTGTGTTGTCTTAGTAATGTCAAGTTGTCATGACAAAGACACTGACAGGTTATGATGTATTGGTTTATGTCAAGGTGTCATAACAAAGACATCTCAAACAATGTCATATTTGCATTAAAAATGTCATAATTGAGCGAATGACACTTATGACAGTTGTCACAAACATGCATAAAACTTCATTCATATTCATAACATGTGTCATGTCATGATTATGAAGGTGTCATGTTAGTCTTATGCACACCCCTTCAAGTAAAGTGTTACCATTAATCCTACCTGTCTGTGCAGTGTATCTCTACTAATAGTAAAACTGTGGCTTTTATGTACTTTAAAAAAAGAAAAGAAATATGACAGAACTTTTCGATTTTTAAGCTATTTTTTGATAAATAACAGGACAACATTAATAGTAAGTTTCTGCGCTACTGAATGTTTCTGTTTTGCGCGATCTATACATTCCCCCGATATGTGAGTATTGAGATGGTATAAACAAACATAACTTGTGGAGCGGAGTATGCATTTATTTGTCTTTTTAACTTGTGTTGGACTGATATTGTTTTGTTTTGTTTTGTTTTATGGCCGAAGCGAATATCTTAAAGAGCAGGGTGCCAGATTGCTGATAAATATGGCTATATTTTATATATATATGTTTATATATATATATAAATCAATAAATAATTTTAAAAATGTAAGATTTAAAAAAAAACTAATCTGTAAAATAAACAGACTTATGCTTTAGATGGCATCTTCTTGATTCTGTAATCCTATAACACTATTTTTCACAAATAAAGAAAAATGTTAAAAAAAAATGAAGTGAACCATGTAACCAAAAGGGCACTTAGGGCGTTTTCACACCTGAAAGTCCGCACCAAGGTCCGAACCAAAGTTCACGTTTTGATACATTTTATACTTTCAGAAAGTTTTGGTTTGGTTTCACACTGCAATTATGTGAGCGCACTAAAGAACTTTACGTGACACACTCGCGTCCTGTCATCATCATCTATGTGGAGTGGACTGCATCTTGACATTGATTGATTTGTAAATGGACGTGCGTCTGACATCAGCGTGTTGTCAATTCGGCGGGTAACTTTGACAACATGAATGAACAGTCGCATATCGTTGCAACTATATTGTTATTTTTATGGCATAATTACCTGCAGCACCAACTATACACAAGGCTTGTTCAAATTCGCCAAATGAACGTCCTCGTCGTGCGAACATTTTATCGTCGCTGGCAGGAAAGGAGGAGAAGTTGACTTCTTATTATGTCATCAGACCATACTTCAATTAAAAACCTCGTCTCCTCCTCTCCCCATGTGCTACACGGCTCATTTTTCCTGCCACCTTCTGTTTTTTCGGCTATTTGGGAACCACCGGAGCTTCCTGTAAAAGGTCTGAAAGTCCGAACCATACAGAAATGCTTTCACACTAGAAACGAACCAAACCTTTGTTCAGTTTGATCCGGACCGAGACTACCTCTTTTCGTCGGACCAAATTTCATCTGTTTGGTTCGGACCGTGGTCCGGGGGAGGTTTCAGACCTGTAACTTTGATTCGGACCAAACTGAAAAGTCCGAAAGTCCGGACCAAACAAGGTAGGTGTGAAAGAGCCCTTAGTAATCTGGTAAGTCTAAGCGCACTGGGAATAAAGGCACAACAGAAGTGCTTTAGTATGATGTAGGGGTTGCACAGACTTGTCGACTTTAAAGGTGCAGTAAGCAATTTCTGAGAAACTGTTGATATTTGAAATCACCAAAACAAACACACCCCTACCCAACAGGATCACACCCTGTTCTTGATAGCTCCGCCCCCAAATAAAAATGGACTTCAAATATTTCTTATCCTGTGGACAGCCAATGCAAATCTATGGGATTTTGGGGCATTTTGGTTGTAATTTATATGAAAACCGTAAGTCCGATCAGTTAGAAAAGATATGGCACACTAAGTCAGAACAGTCTAAAGGTCTTTTGCGAGTAGTCTTCTGCAAGGCAGCCATGTTGTTAGTGTCAAAAATCACATGATCAGCGACTAATCAATGTCAAGCTTAAAGCATCATGGCAGAGCATTAAACGAGCAGCAAGAGCATTCTGAGAAACGCTGTTGAAAGTGGAGTAAGAAAACACACTTGTAGTCAATTAGCAGTAAGGTGTGTGTCCACTTATGAGAGGGGGGAGGTGCCTGTGTTGCATAAGATGCATCCGAAATCACATACTTCCCTACTATATAGTAGGTGAAAGACAGTATGTGACAAAAGTAGCATGTCTGAATTCACAGTACTCATAAAAGAATAGGCAAAAAGTACCCGGATGACTTACTTCTTCCAGGGAGAGTCTGAAGTGTGCATACGATGGACTTTACCATCCTATGAGGCCACGGGAGAGGATTTATGAATGGCAGTGAAGCGAAGTAACTGGTGCTGATAAGTCACATGATAATGACATGGTGAATGTAATAGATTACATTCATACTACACACACTCATTCTAAATATAACATATTGTTTAATGGTTGTGAAGTAATTTATTCAAAATAAGTACCTACCTACTCAAGAGAGTTTGCGATTTCGGATGCATACTTGTGAATTTGGGGGCGGAGCTATCAAGAACAGGGTGTGATCCTGTTGGGTAGGGGTGTGTTTGTTTTGGTGATTTCAAATATCAACAGTTTCTCAGAAATTGCTTACTGCACCTTTAAAGTCGACAAGTCTGTGCAACCCCTACATCATACTAAAGCACTTCTGTTGTGCCTTTATTTGTGAGTGTGACTAAACAACACCCTTTGAAAATGTATTTAAAAAATATTGATTTATCTGATTTAATTATGTAAAATTGTACATGTGCGTGTTTCTTCAATTATGAACACTTTTGGCCATGTAGATTAAAAAATAAAAAAAAGCTCACTAGTTTGTCCACAAACAATATTCAACAGTGGACCCTGTTGCGATAATCATAGTAATAAAATGAACTTATTATTATTAATTCTACTGGTCATAATTTAAGATTAGGTCTGGTTATATATATTAACAAAAAGATCAAATCTATACAAAATAGGCATTAGAAAGGTAGTAAAATAAATATAACTTTGCATAACTTTCTATAACTTTGCATGTGACCATTACAAACCAAAAAAAAGTTAAAACTGTGAACTAATTAATGAAAATAATTTTAAAAAGTGCACATAGTTGAAGAAACAGCCCAGCATTATGAAGTGCCACATTTGGCAGAGAAGTAGTTTGACACCTTTCGAATACCTCCATCAGCTAAATATGGCTTCAGTCTTGCATCACTTTCTGCATATTTAATAACTTTGAGACCCTAAATCCAAAATCCAATACTATAAACTATTAAAATCACATATTTGAGAAAATAAGTCTGTTGAAAGCGTTTGTTTACATTTGCAGACTGTAAACCTCTCATGTAATGTCAGTCAGGGACAATCAACCTACACACTCATCCAGCTTTAATATGTGGTGAAAAGAATTAACTCATTACAGCACGGACAGTTCGTGAATATCAATAACAGGACATATGAGATGTGTGACGAAGTCTCTTTTCTGAGTCACTGACACATCATCATAATTTTTATGAACCATATTGGGCTGAACTATGTAAAGACTGTCAGATTAAAAGACAACGCGCTGATATCTCTCACTCACCTGTCGCTAGATGAAAGAAAAGGCCATGTTAGTGTTTTTCCCTATGCGACAGATCCAGAGAAACATCTTTAAAGGAAAGATTGGTGTTTTGCGGTGAATATGTTGCAGCAGAAGATACTAGTCGATTAAGTAAGATCTAGAGGCGGAGGCACACAAGAGTAAAACGAATTCTGATTGGCCCATTAGACATGTATCCTTACATTTCATTGGACAATTCACCTTGCAGCCTTGTATTGTTATTTGTGATAGGACAGTTCGACATGTAAAAGACTTAGCAGTATATAACCAGTCTTGCCCTTGTGACACAAATTTTAATGGAGCCACTCAAGTCATTTATGATATGCATTCATGGCTTGTTAGACGGAATAGCAAGTTGGCAAGGGAGTCCCCTCTCTTGCGTAGGCGCTGTGGGCGGGGCTTACCTTCCACACGAGTCACATGACTATCACGTCAACCAGATAATTGGTATGTTTTTTTTAAAAGAAGGAAATCTTTCAATTGCTTTAATTCTTTCTTGCACGAATAAGTGTGTATTAAAGCTGCAGTCCGTAGCTTTTTTGGGGTTAAAAACTATCCAAAATACATATTTGAGAAAATACATAACCAGCCAGTGTTCAACTCTCTGCTTGCCGTAGCTCGATTCAAAGCGGTAAGCTTGTAATAATGTTTTTAATTCCAGTGGTACTGGTGGATTTCCGCGGGAGATTCGAGCATGTCTTTGCGTCATTACGTCACATCTGTACACACACATCTGTACACATAAAGAAGAGTCAAGGCTAGAAGTCTATGAGTGTGAGGATGTTGGATGTGGAGATTTATAGCCTTTTCTCACAGCACTTGATATAATTAAACTTATTAATTTGATGGCGGATCCAGAAAGGTTCAAACAACTAGAGATTCACCCGCTGTAAAATGCAAAAGACTTTGTTCGGACTTCGGAGTGGCTACAGAAAAAAAGAGACTGCATCCGGACCCATGCGAAAACAAGGATATATCGGAAGGACATTAAATGTAGTCACGCAATGCTGACATTGTTAACATGAACAATTTGAGAACAAATTATAATTTGCATGGTTTTGCGTGATATGATAAGCGATTGTTAGATTTAATCAGCGTGATTTACTGCAATGTCAGAACCAGAACAAAAGTGGATGTTACTTAATTGTTCAGATTACATTTTCCGGTGAAAATTATTATGTTGGTCATACTTCCAAAAAGAATAATCTGTGATTGTGAATGCCAGTATCCACACCGGCGGCGACTGACAGACACACACTCTCCTCAAACATTGTGTTCATCCGCGCTGTGCCGTGTCGAGACACAACTCACGTAAAGTTGATAATTCCATGAAATAACTGCAATTGCAGATTTCGAACAGAGATGGCGACAAAGAGGAAAAACTGCAAACTTTAAAGGTGCCCTAGAATGTTTTTTTTTATTATTTTATAATGTTTCCTGGGTTACCCTTATAATGTTAGTATGTTTTTTAGATAAAAAATAATCATAATTTAGAAATAAATGGCATTTTTCCTAGCCTGCTTTTAGCCTCTGATTTGAACGCTCTGTTTGAAGGGGCGTGTCTGCTGTGGGATTCAGTGTAACCGCGGCCACTGCTGTGATTGGCTGACATGCTTGCATATGAAATAGCTACGCATTACATGTGAAACTCTCTCGAATACTTTTACTACTGCTATTATACGTTTTTACTATAACAGCTATCGAGATTAACGAATCGTGAGATGTTTTTAAAGTATGTAGATCTATTCCCATCACATAAAATGTTGCCGTGATGATGAGCATTGAGCAGATGAGTGTGTTGATCGCGAGAATGAAGATCTTATCATTGCAAAGCAGTTTCTGCACTCTCTCTGCTTTCACCAATGCAAACACGATGATGTAAATACAGTAAGAGCTTCGTTGTGCAGTAACGTGCGTCATTGATTTCATAACGAGTTTGGCAAGTGTCCAGATAAACTCGTGCTGTGTGGAAAGATTGTTCTTTGTACATCCACACTGAGCAACTGCCATGCTTCGGCTGCGCAGTTCCGTCTGGCATTGAGGGCTGGCATTATGCAAATATTTGGAGGCGTACATATTAATGATCCCGACTATTGCGTCACAGTCGGTATTGTGTGGAGAACCGACCGTTTTTCAGGGGTGATTTTCATAAACGTGAATTAAATGAGAACGTGAAAACAGTCCAGTTTGAGATTCACTCTATGTCATGTCCATGCACTGAACTCTTGTTATTTGACTATACCAAGGTAAATTCAATTTTGAATTATAGGTCACCTTTAATAGTGGTGATTAGAATGGAAAATTATTAAAATGAAACATCCTTATATATATTTTCTTTTAGACTACCATTATTCTTTCTTTTATTATGTTTTTATTAGGCTTTCATTGAAACTGAAGAGTTTATGACACCATCTCGTACTGACTTATTATTTAATATAGTATTACCCTGCTTTGGCTACAGATTATATCAAAACTTAATTTAGGTGAATTTAGGTTGATTGGGGAACTTTATTCCAAGTCATCTCAATAGCAAAAAATTATTTATGTAACAAAATAAGTAGGCTACTCGTGTTTAAGGTTTTATAAACAGGAGTGAAGTTTTGAATGCATATCTTCTAAATGCGAATTTTGTCATTGTTTTAGAGCACACTAGTTTATAGATAACAGTAATGCTAACATATTCACACTAAAAGCCAAAAAACTAAAATGTTTATTTCATGGGGACTTTAAATACATAGCACCTTGCCCGTTATGATTACATGTATAAGTGTCTATTTGTTATATCATAACCATATTTAGTTATTTAAATGAACGTACTTGTGGCGTGTTTATAGTGTTTTATGCCAAGAACGTTTTTATTTACTTGTAGCCTACATTCCCCCTAAAAGAATGTACCACCTGGCTGGAAAACTTCACAACTCTGCTGCTGGTAACGTGTGTGGTCCTCGACGCCCCCCGTACGCGTGTAATGGTACAGTCCGGTGAATAGCGTCCAGTGTGGATTCAGGGAGCGGCGGGGGAGAATCATTTACCGCGAGCAGCGCGAGCGTTGCGGGACGCTGAGATGACGAGCCCCGAGAATACCTCAACAAACGCGGCGAAAACACGTTTATAGGTTTGTGGATCTACTGTGCCCTTTTTAACATATCAAGACCTTTAATAGCAAAGCGGTATTGTTTTGCACAGGAATCGCTCGTAGGATTGGGCACTAACGTTACTTTTGGTGGAACTCATTAAAAGAAGAGAAACATATTTGGAACTTGAAGAAACGTGCGGTTTTGACGCACATGAACTAAACCCATCTCATCTCGTTTGCTTTGTACTGGAACTGAGGAGGTAAGGAAGCTCATCCTGAATGAGAGAACAAAGAAAAATGTGAGACTTTACGTTAAACGGTCGTTTGAGAAGCGCGTTCCTTTCATCTCTGTGGAGAGAATTGCTTTTACGCAGTTTGATTTATATCGCTTCAAAATGTCCAATGCTGGATTATTGCGTTTGCTTCAACTTCAGAGGAAACAAAATAATATGTGTAACCTGACTCTCTGTGTTTTACTCATCCTGACGTGTTCCTGCTCATCTTTATCTTTGTGTCCTGCCCATTGCTCGTGCGAAAGCACAGTGGTGAACTGTGTTAGCCAAAACTTGAGCTCCATCCCACAACCCCTTCCAGAAAACGTCACCACACTTAACCTCAGTGGAAACAATATAAGGATTCTGAACAATGAATCTTTCCCCAAGCCTTTGGAACATTTAACACACCTTTATGTGTCTGGAAACCAAATGGAGCAATTGGACTCTATGGTGTTTAAAAACTTGCCAAGTCTGCGTTTACTTGACCTCAGCAACAGCAGGATTTCAGAGTTTAACGTTGAGGCTTTACCTCAAGACAACAAGATTGAGGTTTTAAACCTCAGCAAATCCTTATACAATCACTCCTACATGGGTGTGTTTGCAAATCTTTTCAAACGCAGCCTATCTAAAGTTTCCCATCTTGATTTGTCCAATAATGACCTGGTGTTCCTTCCAGAGGGCACATTCACAGATTTGTCGGACTTAACGGTTTTGGATTTGAGGAACAACACTCTTGTTTCATTCGGGAATGATACATTTGTGAATCCTGCACTTAAAGAGTTGGACTTAAGAGACAACGCGTTAAAAGTCCTGTCAAACGTGACCCTGGCGGAGCTCAGTTTGATCCCTGATTTGCGAGTCAGTCTCTCAGGAAACCCCTGGCGCTGTGATTGCGACATCGAGGACATGTTGATTTGGTTAGAGAGACATGACTTTGTGGTGGACAAATTAAACTTGACCTGTTCTTACCCAAAAGAACTGAAAAATGCACCACTTTTACACCTAGCACAACCACATCTCCCGTGCTGGAGCAACAATGGAGATGTGGATCGTGCTCTGGAGCCCTCATATGTGTTTTTGGGGATGGTTCTTGCCCTCATTGGGGTCATTTTCCTCCTGGTCCTTTACCTTAACAGGAAAGGGATCAAGAAGTGGATTTACAATATCCGAGACGCGTGCAGAGATCACATGGAGGGATACCATTACAGATACGAGATCAACTCCGACCCACGGCTAGCCAACCTCAGCCTCAACTCCGATGTGTGATGAGACATTCTTGGAAAACTGGCTTGCACAACTGGCACGCAATGATCTGACTCTAGCTTTGCATGAATACATATATAACTGTAGAGGTTTGCTGTGACATGCATTCGTTTCTGTCAGATAGGACAGTAACTGGATTCTGCAAGGATCAACCCTGTTATGCTTGCCTTCAGCTCAATCATATATGCTGGTGTGTTGCTATAATGTTGTCCAGTGATGCATGAATCAAGAACATTTACAATTCATATTTCCCTTTTTTATACAATGGATGGGACTGTGGATGGGTTTGTCTTTTTCTGATGAAATCTGAAATTCTGATTACAGAGTAACCGGCAAAATGTCTGAACAAACTGTAATTGTTTAATGTTATTTTTATAGCTTAATTCATTTCTTCTGCAAAAAAAAAATACTGCCATGCATGTATTTTAAGTATTTTTTCATTGATGTAAAATTATGGCAATATCCACTTTTTTATGAGTTATTTGGTTTTATATTTACATTTGTTGACTGGACATAGATCAACTTTTT